CTAAATAAAGCAGAAAAAAAGCGCTAAATTGAGCAACAACACTACGCTGGAGTAAACAAGCAACGACGGCAAGAGCACCCAAGTGAAGGTTGAAAAAAAAAAAAAAAAAAAAAAAAAAAAAAAAAAAAAAAAAAAAAAGTATACCCAATATGTAGCAGACAGAACGAGAAATCCGCCTCGTAACAGAGGCTATCCACCATAGACATGGTCATGCTAGCCATGTCCAACGAGTGTGGGAATGCCGCTTACCCGCTATCCATGTTGCGCCAGATCCATGATCTAATAACAATATCATGGACTCTGGAGAGCAAGACAGATAGATAGGCAGAAAGCGGCCAACAATGACAAACAAACTCGATCGCATGCTGAAGTCAACTCCATGGAAACAAAGGTGCAGAAAAGCAAAACGCAAGAAAGAATCGACAAAGCCATCCTCTCTCATGGGTATCACATTGCGCACCAATGATGGGTTTCTTCGTCGTCTCATTAAAGAAGATTCGTTTCGTGGTGGTTTCGTGACGTCATGTCGGTTCGTGTGCGTGTGATCGGCAGGCGTTCGGTGTAGGTGATGGGTTGCAGAGAGAGAGCGCGCGATATAGGACAGGCGGGCAAAGATGTGCGGAAGTTGAGATGGATCAAAATCGGTTGTTTTCGGCTGTGTTGTTCAGAATTGAGTGGAGTTCAGGGTCGAGTCATTGTGGGTTGTTCACCAGTAGCCACGGCCACGAGAGCCTCAAGGCGTCTCATGTCGTTCCCGCCATCAGGACCCTGTTGGGATTGGACAAAGACAGGCCCGGGTTGGCCTCCCATCTGTGCGGTTCGTGCGCCGAATTGCTGGGCGGAATGGTGCTGCATAGCCGCTTGCTGCGGCTGAGGAAAAGTAAACTTTTGCGGGTCCTCCATATGCATGCTCGACGGACGGTCCTCGACGTATCCGTTGCTCTGGACGATCACCGGATAGTATTCGCCAAGCGAAGATGTCGAAGGCGTGGGGACGCCTTCGCTGCTACTCGAGTCCTCGGGGGAGGTGCGTTGAGTCCTGTAGGCATGTTGAGCTGAATGTTGAGATGCATGATGCGAGAGAGGTCCCATGTACCAGCCATGCCGCTTATTTTTCCGGGGAGTTACCGGCTGTTCGGCAGAACTTCGACTTGATTCGCCGCTCAAAGGGCGAGTGCCTTGTGGCATTGGTGGAGGCGGTGCGGTCCGGTGAGCGGAAAAGGTGGGATGGGGCGCCGTCGTCGGCCGTTGAACTTGGGTGGGACCGGGACCAGCCCCAGGCCCAAAATTGATCCAGTTTGCTTGCTCCCGCGGCGGTGTGGAGTTGGTCAAGTCTAACTTATGAATTCCCCTCTGCAGTGATAAGTCTAAAGACGGGTTGCGCGTGTGCTCTCGAACTTTTACAGTGGACGGTTCCATTGCTGGCGGTCGATTGGGGCCATCAACTTGCATGGGGCTTGGCCCACGCTGGCTGCTAGGAAGGGACGGTGGCGGAGGGGCGTGATCGAAGGATTCAATTCCCGGCAGCCTCGTCACCTGGCTCGTGGGCGGCTGGTTCGCAGCAGGCTGGGCGGACAGGGACGGCTGAGGAGCATCGGGAGTCTGGTAGTAACTTAATCCACTCGTCGCGGGTCTAGGGGCCAAACCGGAATACGTCCCAGGATGCCATGTTCTCCTTCTCCACTCAGCATCAGAGCTAACAGAATCGCGGCGAGATTCCGCAGAGTAGTTCGAACTAGTCGGACTGGCAATGAAGCTCCCGTTGGTTGAAAACTGAGAGGATTGGGATGACGGCAATGGGCTTATGTATGGAGGCGGGTAGGCACCAGCGCCGGGAGGTCCTTGACCAAATGGATTTGCACCACCACCAGAAGGCACAGACAACCTGCGACCAGGGGTATGGCCACCCCAGGTAAGAGACCTATGAACGGTTGAGATGGGAGAATCTAGCCCTGTGGGATATCTAGGGCCGGGACTGCCGGTAGCAGGAGAGAAGTTGGCCGATGTGGGCGTGCTAAACCCACTTGGAGATTGACTGCCAAATGCAGGAAACTGGGTGCCAGAGTTATACGTGTCGAGGCTTAGTCGGGCCCTGGCAGCACCATCGCCGGCCATGGCCAAAGGAGCGGGCCGTTTTCGAGCGTCATCCCGGTCACTGAGGTTGGAACTTGTCGAAGTAATGCTTGAGGCTGAAAGATTCCTGCTGTGTCCTCTGCTATGGGCGCCACTCTGGCTGCTGACGGTGGATGCGCGGGAGCGGTTTGGCGGCCTGACACGGTCTGTACGAATCTGACGCTGGAACCTGGTACCAGTTGCAGCCAAGGAGTCGCCAGGGATATCCTCGTTGACATGAACGGTCTGGGCATGCTGACGAAGATTGTCAAGACGGGAGAATCGACGGTTACAGTGACATTGGAATGGCCTCTCTCCTGTGTGTTTCCTGGGGGGGCGACGTCAGAGAAACGAGGCTGAAACCGAGCGGGGCACCACGTACCTGATATGCCTGGCCAGGTGTTCACTCCTGGTGAAACTCAACTGACAAGGAGGAAAGTCTGTGCAGAAGAACCTTTGCCCCTTCTTCTTCTTGGTCGGCCGCGAGTCGCTGTTGACGCTCTCGTTGTCGGATGCGTCGAGCCCCTCGTCATCCATTTCCGCATCTTGCGCGCTTGCCGCGGGGTGAGAATGAGTGGAGTCGCCGTGTTGCGGCGCCTCGGGCCGAGGATGCTGCTTCTTCTCCTGCGAAAGCGCCAGAGAGGCGTTGGAGAGGGCACGCTGGCCGGAAAATGCGCCAAAGCTGTCTCGGGTAGGCGTCTTCGCAGAGGCTTCTTCGATGGCACGCCCTTCTGCTGGCGGATGGTCAGAAGAGAAGAACTTGCTAGGCCGGGGCGTGGTGGGTGTGGTCTCCTCACCAGAGGGGCCTGGCTGCCGCTCCGGGACAGTCAGGGTGGTGTTGACGGCGCGAAAGCCAGACATGGTCAGGCGTGAAATCGACTGCGGGGCTGCGAGGCTGTTATTACCGCGTCCCGGCGGGCGCTGGGAGCTGACGGTGAAACGCCAAGTCTTACTCGCTTCCTAGAGTGACACGAGTTGGCTGCGACGAGCGCCCAAAGGCCAGGCGGGCGGAAAAAGTGTGGAGTGGTCGGGAAGCGCTTGCACGCGGGCTCTACTACGGCTTCTGGGGCGCTCCGAGGCTCCGCGCGAGGGGAAGCAGGGCTACTTTGACGGTGCGGGTGTTGGCTGGGAGCGGAGGCGGTCGCATCGGCATCCGGCCTGTGGTTGCACGCTGGTGCGAATGGGGGGACGGGCGGCGATAATGGGCGGTGGTGATGGTGATGGTGGGTGGTGCGTCGCTTAGGGCGTGTATCAGGGCATGTGGGGTGGGCGGCGGCGGCAGGGCGGCGGGCGAGGGAGGGAGCGTAGGGATGTAGGTGCGGGGATAGCGATAACCAAGGCTTAGCACGAGCTTCAAAGCGAAGGGGTGTGTGTGGCAAGAGAAGAGAGGAGAGGGCAGAGAGAGAGAAGAGACAGAAACAAGCTGACGGGTTTGCGCTTCGGCTCGGAGGTTAGTGCATAGAGAGGGGCGCGGCACGCAGCGTTGAGCGTGGCAATCAGCTGCGCCCACGAGCCGCAATTATTATGGGGGTGGTTGGGCAATTGCCAGCACGGCCAGCTCCACACCATACGGGCCATGCAAGGGACAGCAGATCGATCTCCTCGCTGAAGAGCGCTGCTTGACTCGCCCACCTGACCGCCCTGCAAGTGGCCGTTTTGACCGCTCTCCTCGTCGCAGGTCCGCCCTGCATGCACGCGGCTGCTTGCATCACCGCTGACTTCATGCCATGCCCGAGCAAGGGGCCGTCTCACTAGCCTTTGATTCCATGTCTGAACAACGCTGTGCTACGTCGAAAAAGGTCAGGGTCGCTTTCACCGCCCCCGCCTCTGCATGCGCCCACATGACAACCGCCGCCGTGGTAAGGCCCCTCGGATCCCGCCCTTTTTTCCATATTATCGCCCTCTATTGCACCACCTGCTCCAAGCGTCAGCTCCGCTCGCGACCTCGACTAATAAAAAAAAAAAAAAAAAAAAAAAAAAAAAAACCTCTAACTCACCTTTTCCCTCAGCATGCCCAGCCATTGCTGCAGACTCACGCCCTGGTCCGCCCGGTCCTCCACCAACAGCGTCTGCGCCCACAGCTTTAGGCTCGGGTCGCCGTCGTCCCGGATGATGTACAGCGTCGGCACCGTGATGCTGCCCGCTCCCTTCAGCCGGTGATCCTTGCTCTTATCAATCACCGCCCGCACCCGCTCGTTCATCTCGTTGTCCAGAATCGCCATGCTCGACTTGCCCTGCTTGATCGCGTTCTTGTCGTCCACCCCAAACACGTCGATGAGCAGCTGCGGCACCGCGTCACGTCCCACCCACAGGAATTGGTTGACCCCGTCGTCGATCAGGTACAGCCCGTACGGCACAATGCGCTCCGAAGACAGGTTGCAGGGCGGCGGCAACAGAATCTCGCCCGTGGTTGGGTCCGGCACGCCGGCGTCGTCGGGCATGTCGTGCAACGAGTAGAACCGCGGGTAGATGTACTGGATCATCAGGGGCAGCGGCAGCGTTGAGAGCAAGCACAGCGAAGCAGCGCGAAGATCAGAGGGGATCTGCGCGGATCTCCGCAGACCAACCTATTCTCTGTCAGCTAGGAGCTTTGATTTCCCGATTCTGTAACTTACGTTCTTGATGAGGCCCAGGAAAAGCACCGGAAGAGCCCTCAGGTTGGCCGGCAGCTGCAGCCCGCCGCCAATATTGCCGCCAGCAAGTTCCTTCTTGTAAGTCTGCAGAATCTCAATAACCTTGCTCTGCAGCGCGTCTCTAGCAGCGTCAAGTCCACTTCCAAGAGCCCGCTCCACAGCCTTGTGACTGAAGTACTGCGTGATTGCCTGCGCATCAGCGCCCGCGTAGACGTTAGCCATGTTGTCGGTCGTGGGAATTGCCAGGGTCAAGACTCTGATTCTCCGCTCGCCATTGCAGGTCGTGTGGAGAACTGCAGTCTGCATGCAGACGAAGGGCTTCGTCAGAGTCTCATCAATAGCAACCTCCACAACGTATGCTTGGTCGCGGGGGAAGGCGGGGAAAGCGCAGAGATCAGAGCTCCGGTTGAAGAAGTTGCCGTAGAATGTGCTCATGCGGAGACCCGTTGTCGCTCTGACACGGAGCACGGCCTCTAGACCAATCTCGGAGGACAGATAATCACTGAACTCGCGAGCGAACTTGATCGCATCCTCGCTCCTTGCTGCGTTCCACCCAGGGTAGAACCAAGTCTGTCCACCAGTGTATCTCGGCAGGTTGGAGAGCGTCGCAACGTCCTGGTACTGAGAGGAGAAGAGGAACATGTCAATCGAAACCTGGTTCTTCGAGCACTCCACCGCAAAACTCTTGTAGAAGCTGTTGGCAGTCTGCAGCAGCTTGCCTTCACCGCTAGTACCAAGCACCTTCTTATCCTCCCTCATCTCGAGTTTGCCGTAACCAACGTTCGGGAGTGACGCGCTGAGCACCGTGATCTTTCCGCCAACCGGGGAAATAAGCTTGTGGCCCGCACGCAGAGCCGAGCCCATGGCAGAGCCAGCGTTCTGAGTATCCTGGAACATGGACTGGAGCTTGTCCAGGAAGGTCTCCACATTGGCGCGACATTCCGAAAGGTTGACAAGCAGATCCTCGGGCGTAGGAAGGAAAGGCTCATCGAGATCGCTAACAACCAACATTCTGGGATCGCTGTTCTCGCCGCCATCGCGGGGGATGGAGAAGTAATGCAGGCTAGAGTCCACAGCCATGAAACCCAGGCGCGTCCTCCGGTCCGCATTGGGTATCCGGTCAAGGCTCTCGAGAATGCAACGAGCAGCCGTAGCCAGCAGTCCGCTAGTAACCGCAGCATAGCTAACATCGAACAAGAACAGGTAGACCAAAGGCTGCGGAGGCCTAACCATGTACTCCTGCGGAGCCACAAATTCTACGACGGAGTAGTTGAGCTCCGGCCTCTGCCACCTGTCCACGCTCTGCTGGGTAGCAGCATCCCAATCAAAAGCCTGAGGGACGTCGTTTGTCAGGTTGCACATGTTGCAGCGCCAGCGGTGGCCGTGGTCCAGGAAAGTCGCGAAGGGGTTGATGTAGGAACGGCATCTCCGACATCTAGAAATGACCTGGTCAGGAACCACGGGCACCGGGTCCTCCGCATCGTGCAAGGAAGTGTATGGCTGGATGACAAGAGCGAGCGGTAACCGCGACTTTTTGAGCAAAGAATGGGTGGTCGGAATGCTGTTTAGCGTCGAGCGGACGTATTTGGGAGGGCAGTTGGCGAACTCGGAGGGAGTAACACTAGTCTGTCCAGCAAGTCAGCTTCAAACACGGAATTGATGTAGGAAATGCATGCGCACGTTTGGAGGAAGATTGATAGGCGGTGGTGGCTGGTCGAGCTCGTAGACATTGAACGGCGCACTGATCAGATCGGTGGTGACGAGCTGATTCATCTGGGGATGTTGGGGAGGCATCGGCGCCTGCATTGGCTGCATCATGGGCTGCATCATGGGCTGCTGAGGCTGCCCATAGACCTGCGCCGGCTGCTGTGCTCCCAGATTCATCTGTCCAAACTGTCCTGCCAGCGGGTCTACCACCGCGGCCGGAACGCCGCCCATGGGCGGCGGCACAGCGCCAGCAGCATTGGCGCCGAACTCATAAGCCTGAGCGGCATACGCACGCTTCTTCTTTTGCGGGCCAGCGCCCCCTTGGTAATCCATCGTGGTGAAGAGTGCGGCGGAGGGTCGTGTTGAGGTCAAGTGGCCGTAAGACTGGGCTTTCTAGGTAGCCGAAGGCGGCCCAGGTAACTCTAAGGCTCGAGAAAGGCACGCGCACTGGTATTCCGAACCTCGTGCAGCTCGCGCGGACAAAGGGTGAATGGAAAGAGCTAGGGAGCGTAGGCTGCTGGCGATAGCTGATCTGTCCAGAAAGTCGGTCGGCGTGTCCCTCCTTTGGGCGGGCCGCGGCCGATCGAATCCCCGCGGCCGTCCAATGACCTAGGCGGTTAGTCCGACGCCACGCAGCATTCCAGAGAGAAACAACTTAACAAGTGGCAGCAGCTCAACTTCTGTATATCATCTAGTCAACTATCAAGCGGCTCCCACGGTGCGATCTGATCGCTTCCACCCATGCAATGTCGGAAAACGAGCAGACCAGTCCATCGTCGCATCATCGACTTAGGCAGCCTACCATCTCAAAGCTTGCTCGACTCCTACATTTACAAAACTCAGTTATCAAAAGAATTTTCTTCCAACGGTCAAATGACCACGTGAAAAGGGAAGACTGTTTCTTAGTCCAAAATCGATGCAAAATCCGGGCCTAACAATACTATCCCGCAGTAAACTTCATCATTATAAGTCGTCTCATGTTTGATCCATGACCTAGCTTCGAGTAACATTCTTGCTTGCGTGAAAACTTCAAGGACCATGCCAATGGACTCAGACTGCCATCCCGACCGTATACACGCTCAATTTTCTCCAGTTTCCAGACAAGGATAATCATACTCGAGCTCGATGCCCGGCGTCAAAGGCGTTCCAATTTGGTTCAGCGACGTGCTCCCTAATTATTCTACTAGGAAGTCCCCTATACCCGTTGTCGATTAGACTTTATCTAGGTATATATAACTGTTTTGTTATTATTAACTTGACGTTCTTATATCGAGAGTAACGATAAGTAAACAGTTACACAGATACGGATAATACTACCATAACCCAGAAATTCTAGCACACATTATGTTAGAGGGAATGAGAAGAAAATGTTCAACAGCACAAGTCTAGAATCCTGTATATCTGACAACTCAATTCACAAAGGAGCAAGCGATGGCCCTGTCTCAAGATACCTATCCTAGCTTTGTGTAACGTCCATCATCACGAACCGAGATCCACCGTATAGCGAGATGGGGGACGATTTAAGTAGACCCTATAGACTACTTCTTACCTAGCTCCTAGCCTGAGTTCTAGGCATAGATAAAAAGGTCTTGGAGTATATTGACTCTATATGTCTTAGCTGGGTCTCTTCTTCTACTCCGTATAAGTATTACTATCTCGCTTTATGGTGAATCTCGGTTGACGGTGACGGACGTTACTCAATCGCGGGCATTCGCTGAAAACCAAACCAACCATGCTCAAAGGAATAACTACAGCACAGTGAGCTCACGGGAACACTGTCTCAGCTTCACCAGTCACAATGATTTCAGGTTGCTTAAAGAAATAGTTCAAGTGTCGTTTCTTATATTGCAGCTACGCGCTGCTATGTTTGTGCGAGCGATACCAGCTCGTGCTTTCGTTATGAAACCTCCAGCCAGCCAACCCTTAGCCAACCTTTATCAATCGATGCCACCCATCGCGTAATTATCAATCCCAGTGTTTCCCCAACCCCAGAGCCAGAAACGCCGTAATAAAAACCCGCAAAATGCCACCACGGTTGAAGCGCCCGCGGACAAAAAAACCCAACTGCAATACGCCGTGCTTCTCCTCTCAACCCCTTTCAATGCTGCGCTTGAATCTGCATGAGAGCAAAACTCCGGGCTTGGCTAGACGCCATCCGGCTGAAGAAAGTAAAACTGCCCCTGCTGGACTAGTCAAAATTTGATACAATGCCAAAGGGCAAAGGCAATGCCTGTGTCAAATCAAAGCTCGGTCCAGTCGCTGGGTCTGGCCCTGCGCTGACGGTTCTGATGCCTATGAGGATTGACAGGCTTGCGGAAGTAGGCGTTGTCTTCTTCGTTTGGGAAAGGTTCGCTGAAGACGGTTCGCTGTTGGTTTGGAAAGACACCGGGCTTTTGACCTTGCGGGCCCATGCCATTCATACTCCAACCTTGGTTGGACTGCCAGTTTTGTTGACCGTATCCGCCGTTCATCATGCCATTACCGTAATTGCCGTACATACCATTCTGCTGCGGGTATCCTCCCATGCCACCCATGTTGTTCCAGCCACCCTGCTGCTGCTGCTGCTGCTGCTGCATCATCATGGGGTTCATCATAGCATTCGGCATACCCATCATGGAACCCATGCTCATGCCCATGCCCATCATACTATTCTGAAAGCCCATCCCATTCATGTTGTTGTAAGGCATAAAGTTGTTGCCGCTTGGAAACTGATTGGGCATCATGGAGGATGGGCCACCGGCCAGAGCATTCATCTGGTTGATGAAGGCCTGATCCGATCCGCTGGGAGCTTGGACCTTCTGCTGTTCTTGTTGCTTCCGCATGGCAGCTGGAGCCGTGGGTATCCGATCATTCTTAAGCTCGTCTTCGGCAGGGCGCTTCTTTGAAACACCGTTAGTAGCAGCAGGACCAACAGGCACGGCGGCTGGAGTCTCAGGTGTGGACTTGGTCGCTGATGGCGAACCAAGCTTGGCGGCCTTGACCTCTGGGGTACCATTTGCACTAGGGCTCTTCCCCTCTCCTCCAGCAAGTGACGCCTTCTCAACAGTGGGGCTCTTAGAAGCCTCCTTAGCTTTCCTCTCTGCAGACTTCTCATCCTCGTAGGCCTTGATCTTCGCAACCATTTCCTCGTCGGAAGTAAGGTCGTCGATGAGCACACCTTCTTTGGAACAGTTCGGACATACGAAGTCACTGTTGATGAGTGCATTCTCAATACAATCATTGCAGTATGTCATTCCACAGCAAGGTGTCTTCATTGGATCCACAAACATCCGTTTGTCAATTGAGCACTCTAGTCCTCGGTCCCGAAGTTCCTGGCTTCCAGCAGACTGAGCTTCTTGCTTCGCGGCGGAAGCTTGAGCCTTGGCTTGGTATTGCTTCCAGGATGCCTCGTCTGGCTTTGCTATGACATACTCGCCTGCAGCGTTGATCATGACACCGGAAGGTTGACGAGTCTCATCAGTCAAGCCATCATTGGTAAGAGCGACAGGCTTCTCAATGGTCTGTAGCATCGAGCGAGGAATGCCGGTAGTACGCTTAATGCGTGGCTTGTTCTCGAAGTTCGGGTCGTCGTTTGTAGGACATGCCTGAATCCAATGGCCTATTCATCTTGTCAGCAAAAGTTCATTGCATAATCGTTCGTGATAGCTTACCTTTAACGTGGCAGCGATGGCAAATGTAAGTCTCCGGAGGCTCGCCTTCTGGAACATTGTTAGGCCTGCCCTTGTGTCCAGGTCGATAAACAGGCTTGGCACTGTTATTGTCAGCTTATTATTCCATTCATATACATGATGAACGCACTCAGCCATTTTAGCCTTCTGTTGCTCCCAGTTCTCAGCGCCAGCAGCAAACATAGCTGCGATCCTCTCCTCTTCTGTCTGGGCGCTGTTCATAGCCGACGCCCCGTCAACTGCAGGCTTGGGGGCAACGGGCTTGGATGCGGCAGACTCAGTGCGATAAGAGTTCTTCGCAGTAACAGGTGCCTTGCCTGACACATAACGAGCAGCTCTGCCATGACCGGGCCTAGCTGCTGGGAGACGACGAGCGAGAACGGTAGTCGAGCGAGGAATTATAGTGGTATCGTCATCGTATTCTTCGTTGGTGTCTTCAGTGTAGATAGAAAGATCAAAGTCCGTACCATCACCAAGACCAGTGGAGGTGATAATTTCTCTCTTCAATTCAAAAACTGAAATGCCAGTGCCATCAAACGTGATGCGCTGGGGCTCCTTAGAAGATTTGAATTTGAAGAACACTGAGGACGACATGGTGAGATGGGTGCGTGAATTTGTGTCGTAGTCGAAAAAGGTGGTTAAGGATTAAGCGTCGAAACGAGTCGTAATCGAGTAGTGGAATGGAACGTCCGGATTGGTTCGTAAGGTTGCAGTCGGTCGAAGAGCTCTCTTGGATTATCGAGTCGTTGACAGAGTTCAAACGTCCAGATGCAGACTGTCAAAGCAGGATATGCGACTATGAACTCTGTGCAAAGGCTTCTTTTATCGGTCTCCCAGTAGGCAAATGGGTATTTTGAATTTTGAACAAGCTGAGCTTCACCGCAGCAGCTAGTCGGAAGAGAAGAAGTAAAGAGATTGTGTACAAAGTGCGGATGGGCACAGTGAAATGGGGTAGGCTCAATCCAGTCGCGGAGTGAACTGAACTGCTGAAGACCACAACTTCACCAAAAGATCCTCCCAGCTCGCAAACTCTCCAGTTGTATACTGGCCCAAAGGCGCTCCACGCAACGACCCAGCAATCTCACCTGTGTGATGTGTCGATGGAGATGATGTGGCGATTCGCCGCTCAGGGAACCGCGAGGCAGTGTCAACTCGTCGCAATGCACGCGAGCGACCGTAAGATAGGGTTTGCAGGTTTCGACCGCACGGATCTGTCGATGAGTGGTTGCAGTGTCGAGGCTGGCGGGGTCGAGAGGGTGGATGGACGGAGAGACAAGGGGGAGAAAGGGAGCGATGTAGACGTGTCGCTGTCAGAAGTGGGAGGGAACAGCCGGCCGGGCTGAAGTGAACAATGGGAAGGTGCCAAGGATTGTTCCATTTGCGGCCGGGCAAATTTGTCATCCGGGGGACACCACGTGATACAAAGAATACTCGGAGGCTGCCACGTGATCGTGTTACGAAGGAGTACATCACAAAACAGTCTCTCCGTGTCTCTCAGCTTGACCAAGACAATTCTCCTTCGCCTTGACAATTTCGCTCATCCTAGCTTGACTCCGAAGTTCCCGTTCGCCCTTTGAAAAAGTAAGTCATAGGATTGAAATGCTATATCAATCCAAACCAATTCAATTGAAGACGTCGGCTTTAGACTCGCTCCTCCTTATCTTTCAAGTTGCTAAAGTCAGTAACCGCAGTACTGTTTTGTCGTTGTGCGGTTTCAGGTAAGGAGTTGGTAAATCCTTCAACCCAAACTTCAGTATGACCGGACAGATCTCCATTGTCCCTGGGAATCCGCGGCTCCCCATCATAAGCGACAAAAAACGTATTATGGATCTGATATAAGGCGTTACTATATTATAATACATAGACAGTAGAAGCAAATATTCTAGAGTTAAACTTGCTTTCTAATGAAATAGGCCTAGAAGCCTAACTACTCTTATGAGAGATTGCGGTATCTTGTATACTACAACTAGCCTGCGGTCCTCAGTTACACTCCTCTGATTGCCTCTTAGTATACTAAAGTTATAGGCACAGGTAGAATTCATTATCTTGGTAAGAGCGAGGTTGACCCGTACATAGAATGCACCGTCAGCAAGTTATCAGAGGCGCGACGGCCGGATCGCATCTTCCCGGTTTCTCTTCCAGCTTGAGGTTCTTGGGTTGTTGAAGGACTTCCCGATCGCATGGCTATGGTTATCGCTAGCATGGAATGCTTTGGGACGGGCGATGAATGCCGCGAACCTGCGCGCTCGCAGGGTAGTGAGCAGTTTGTGAACAAAGATGCATATTTGCTACGTGGTAGGTAGCGATGTCTTGTCAAGCTGTTTAATTGAGTCGTTGCGCTACCTACCTACTTAATTCACGCTGCTTCGGCGATCACTCGCCGCCGCCACAGTGTCTGCCGTCTTCCGTCATCGGTTTTTAGCTGTTAGCTCCCAGGGTCTGTTCGCGGCATAACCCGTCGGCCTGGTTCCATCGCTTTGCCCATCCAACCAACCATTTGATTCGCAGCCTCACTTGCAACATCACCGCGCTTCCGCTCGTGCAACCTGCCGTTGCACCCTCGACGGCAGTCGAAACAACCTGACCTGGTCACGTCCAGCTTTCTCTGACGCCAGCACCTTCGTCTTACCAGAACCCGGCAACCCCACCGCAGCGACAGCTCCCACGCTTGCCCCGCCACACGTCCAACCTTCTTTTCACAGCTTTGAAGAACCATCGAGAGCTCAAGATGTACGGTAGCAAGCTTCAGAAGAACAAAATCAGGCCGCCGCGGAGGGTATGTCCTATTTCCATCTCCCAAATCTATCTGCTTCGCCGGAGCGCTTCTCTTGCGCTCTTGCGCCAAGCTGCTCCCAAGCTTAGCTGGCACACACACGCTGACAGGCGCATTCAAGGGCATCAACGGCGGCGACATCGACTTTGAGAGCACCTGGAACATCCTCGCCGCCGCGATACGTCAGATACATACCAAGAATGCTTCGGCCCTTTCATATGAGGAGCTCTACAGACACACTTACCGCGTAATCCTGAAGAAGAAAGGCCACGATCTCTACGAGCGGGTACTGGGCTTTGAGAAGGACTGGTTAAGCAAGGAGGTCAAAGGCGGCGCACAAGGGCTGATCACGGATGGCTTGGTCGCGAGCATGCAGGATGGAGGTGGTAATACTACAATGAACGAACAGAGGGTGGCCGGAGAGAGGTTTCTGAAGGGCCTAAGGGAAGAGTGGCAAGATTACCAACTCTGCATGAGCATGCTCACGGACGTGCTAATGTACATGGTAAGTGCAGCACCAATGCTGGTAAAAGACGTCTCTTGAGGCTTACGAGAACGTGTACTAAAAGGAACGCGTCTATTGTACGGACAACCGCCAGCCATCCGTCTATACGACCTCGCTCACTTTGTTTCGCGACAACATCCTGCGCTCCGATGCGTCGGCAAAACACCCCAATCAGAAAATCCAGGGCATTCTAAACAAGATAATGCTGGACCAGGTCCATATGGAGCGCAATGGCGATATTATTGACAAGCATTTGGTTAAGTCATGCGTCTACATGCTGGAGAGCCTGTTCGAAGGCATTTCGGAAGATATCAACCAGCGGTTATACATCACTTCATTCGAGCAAGAATTCCTGGATTCTAGCCGCGAATTCTACAAAAAGGAAGGTGATACGCTTCTGCGTGACCGGGACGCCGGCACATACTGCAGACACGCGGCCCGTAGGATACAAGAAGAACAGGATAGATGCCGCTCGACGCTGTCGGAAAGCACTACACCAAAGATCGAGGCAGTAGTGGAGGATGAGCTCATCAGGAATAAGATTCATGATCTGATCGAGTCAGACAGCGGGGTCAAGTTCATGGTGGACAACGATCGGATTGAAGAGCTAGGACTTGTCTATGAGCTCAATTCGCGCGTCGACTTCAAGAAAACAGAGCTGGTTCGGGCGATACAGAACCGCATCGTGGAAATGGGAACGGAGGTTAACAAGGCCGCCATAGCTGCTTCTCAGGCACCCTCGGCGCCAGCAATCCCGGCAGAAGGTGGTGAGAAGGAAAAGAGCAAGGCAGCGTCGGCGGAAAAGGCTGTTAACCAGCAGACTGTGGCAGCGTTGAAATGGGTCGAAGAAGTCTTGCAACTAAAGGATAAGTTTGACGAGATCTGGAAACGCGCATTTGCCTCGGATCAACTCATGCAAACTGCCCTTACTCGCAGCTTCTCGGAATTCATCAACTCAAGCGCATTCCCTCGGAGCTCGGAGTACATTTCGCTCTTCATCGACGAGAACATGAAGAAGGGCATCAAAGGTAAATCAGAGAACGAGGTCGACATCGTGCTGGAGAAGGCCATTGTCCTGCTGCGGTACATTGTCGACAAGGACCTCTTCGAGCGCTATTACAAGAAGCATCTCTGCAAGCGTCTGCTTATGAACAAGTCGCTGAGCAACGACGTGGAACAGCAAATGATTTCACGGATGAAGATTGAGCTCGGAAACAACTTCACAACGAAACTGGAAGCTATGTTTAAGGATATGACCATTTCTGATGAACTAACTTCCGGCTTCAAGGACCACGTCGCCAAGCTCGGCGACCCAGACCCCAAGCGCATCGAACTTGGCGTCAGCATCCTGACCAGCATGACTTGGCCTTTGGAGTCCATGGGCAGCTCTGGTGACAACGAGGAGAGTGCGCGTCTAAAGTGCGTTTTCCCCATGGCCGTCGAGAAGATCAAGAAGAGCTTCGAACAATACTACGGTGAGAAGCACTCTGGCCGTCAACTTACCTGGCTCGCCAACATGGGTTCTGCGGATGTCCGGGCCACATTCCCTAAGGTGCCGTCCAAGGAGGGCGGCTTCAAGGAGCGTAAGCACGAGCTTAACGTCTCCACGTATGCCATGATAATCCTATTGCTTTTCAACGACGTACCCAACGAAGAGAGTATGACCTTCGAAGAGATCCAAGCCAAGACCAACATCCCCACCCACGACCTTATCCGGAATCTGCAATCTCTGGCCGTCGCACCTAAGACGAGGATATTGATCAAGGAGCCTATGAGCAAGGACGTCAAGCCCACTGACAAGTTCTTTTTCAACGAGGGTTTCGTGGGCAAGTTCCACAAGCTTAAAGTTGGTGTGGTTACCGCAGGAAACAAGGTCGAGGGCGAAAAGGAGCGCAAGGATACTGAGAAGAAGAACAACGATTCCCGTGGCTTCTGCATCGAGGCTGCTGTTGTGAGAATCATGAAGTAAGTTATGATGAGTGGTGTGCGTGGGCAGGAATGATGCTGACTTGAGTTTACAGGCAACGCAAAGAGCTCAGCCATCAGCAACTCGTTGCCGAAACCTTGACGCAGCTCGCCAACCAGTTCAAGCCAGACGTGAATATGATCAAGAAGCGTATAGAGAGTCTGATCGAGCGCGAGTATCTCGAACGCATCGAAGAGGCGGCTCTCCCCTCCTACCGGTACTTGGCGTGAGCGCGAGCATAAAACCCATCAAATACGCTTACGCTTCCCTCCTCTATGGCTCTTTCTCATGCATCCTCGGCACCGTGGTCCTTTGCCTGTAGAGTAGGTTTTCTTGACCGATCACCGGACGCGGCACGGCAAGCTCCGACCAGTCTAGCCGATTAGCGTACCCGTAGCCTTTGAGCAGCACAACGGCTTTCCGAACCACTGTTGCTGCGTTTTGCGCCTTTTTACACAACGGTACGCGATGTAGTCATTGGCTAGAAAACTCTTCTGGTCTCTTCGGCTTGTCGGATCCAGTATTTTGCAGAGCGGCCCTTTTCTTTTTCCCTTACTCTCTTCCTTCCTGCTTCTAGTCTTGCACCCCAGCGAATCATCATTTTTGCCAATCCCAAATGACGGGTCACATTTTGTTTTTCCTCGCTTTCCAACGGCAGCATCTGGATCTGGGCAGAAACGGCGTAACGGCGGTGCCTGGCGATGCGGCTTGACGGCGGTGGCTTTTGCTCCTCCACTTCCCCACCCTGTTCTCTCCCCTCTCGTCGTTTTTCTTCCATCCTCCCCATGCCTGGTTCTGCTTGCTTGTTCATTCGTTTGGCGGTCATGCAGGAACGCGCGTGGCGCCCGGCCCTGGAGTCGTGCCTACGCTAGCGCTCGGAGAGCCGGAGGGCGAAGACGACCGCCTGGTCCGGCGGGGATGTCGAATGGAGGTGTCGGCTCAGTAGAGCAGGAAGTAGGAGTGCCTCTGGATATCTGGGATTGGGACTACAGACAAAGTAGAGAGGAAAACGGAACCAGGTAGTTAGGAGCACGGGGACGACTAAACGACGAATGAATCCCAATGTGCTTTAGCGATTGCTTGCAGGAAGAATGGCCTTCTCAGTTCGGGAGTGTGTGGACCGCTGTGATCCTGAGCCGCGTAGGTTGTTTCGCGCTCTTCATTCCGGGTCCGGTTCTATCGTGAGCGGGCTCTAGCATAGTGCAATTGGTTTACTGGCCGTCTGGCTGGTCTGGTGGACGCGTGGCTGTCCTAACTGCCTACCTATTAACTCTGGCTACCCACTCGTTCGGACGTGTGAAGCCGTGAGATGCGTCGGCGGCGCCGGCGACTACGGCGGTGCTTGGTGCTGCGACTGACTGGCAGTGAACGTGATAGGGCACAACTCGCATTTCCGGCTGGCGCCGAGCCTCCCAATCTTCACTCGCCCGGCGCTTACATGGTAAGGCACGCACAGCTATAACAAATATCAAATACCTACAGAGGAACACAGCATCTCCGGGCAGCACGGAACTAGGCCAGCCTCCAAGCGGGCATCACGCGGGGCGGGCCTTCCTCATTGGCGTAGCCCGCAACCTAGGTAGGAGAGCGGGCAGGCAGAAAAGCGTCCGCGCGCGGGCTCTATATCCGGACAGCGACTATTGAATTTGAGATGAGCGGCTTAGCTAGTTAGCGCGACTAACTAACACCTATGGTACAATATTATGGTATGGTACAATATTGTAGAGGGACACGAGGGGGGCAAGAGGTCGAAAAAGTTCGGGCAGGAATTGCGATCGCCGTGGCGGGCGGGGGCCTTGGCTAAAAGTGGGCGATCGCAGATGTGCATGGCATTGCCCGGCTGTGGAGAGGGGTGGAGCGTTCGCGGATGGATGATTCTGGACTCTCTTCTTTTTTTTGGTGTGTGTTTTGCTGCCATTGCCCATTGCGTCGGCTCGGCGGGAGTCTGGAGACGGTCCGAAGGTCGAGGTTCTGGCGACGCAAGGGCGCGCGACCGCGAGCGGAAAAGAGAGCAATTAACAATTAATTATTACAGAGAGCCGCCAACCAGACACCGCTATTGGTGGTGGTGCCATGGCCGTGGGTAACTTTTAACACACTGCCAATTTCTAGCGTAGCGTCGGTCGGGTCGACTCGTGCCCGCCAACCTCTCTCGTGGTGGCCGCGCCCCGAACCCCGACCTCTCGACTGACCGTCACCCGCGCCGCCCAGCAGCCCTCTCGAATCTACCCGAATCCCGGAAGCCTGGGCAAGGAAAAGAATGGTACGGGGCTTGAAGAGTCTGACGTCTGCAGGGCGGCTGGCGCAGCGGAGCCGGGTCCCGCGACGGGCGGCGCGGTGGGTGGCGTCCAGCGGGCTGGGTTGGGCTGAGCTGAGCTGAGCTGAAAGAGAGGGTCGTTATCGTCTCTATCTAGAGTACTTAAAAAGCTGGAGACGCAGGTCGGACGTTTGGCAGTTGTCACTGGGCTGCATATGCTGCGCGACGCTGGCTGACAGGCAGACTGACTGACGGCAGCAGATCGGCTTGCGTGCTCTGCAGGATGTGGAGGATCGTTGGATTTGATTTGCTCATTTCTGCAGGTCGACGAACGGCGAGCGGCACCGCGGCAAAAGGCAATGCAGGCACAAGCAACAAGGCTGGCCGGACGACGACGACGACGACGACAACTGGAGGCGCAGGGCACACAGACACAGGCATGCCGAAGTTAGTTGGGTGCATGCATGGATGACGGTGACGGCACACGCGGTTCTCCACATGGCGAGACCGAAAGGCGGAAATTGGGCAGAGGGCCGCCAGTGCTCAGGTAATATCAGAGGCAGGTGTCAGTGGGCGATTCGTCGTTCGTGTCCAGGCCTCGTATCGTGTGGCTGCCCCTATTCCGCCCCCTGCACCGACTCCGGCCGTTCCTGGCGCCTGCCCCGATCAGGCCTGCTCCCCCTGTGGCTTGCGTGGTGAAACGCGAAGGCCCAGAAGTGCCCGCGCGCCAGCCCACCTTCGATATATTACTTCCAACCCTCCCCCATCTCGTCTCTCTCCCCCCCACAAGCCTCCGCGCCTCCATTTTCGCCGTGTGCTATTGCTGTCACTCTTTTGAGCTACTTGCTCGTCCCTTCTTTGTCTCCTCTGCGAGATCACACTCTCTATTGCGATAGCTCCGGCAGGCTTAGTCGCTGATCCCTTTGCACATCCCGTCAATCATCATGCAGTACCGCATTGCTCAATTCGGCCTCTTCGGCCTGGCCACGACCGTCCTTGGTCACCAGCACCACCAGAACAACAAGCACTCCAGCTTCCATGACCGCCGCATCCAGAACCACGGCCCCTTCGGCATGGGCAACGCCACCTACCCCTTCCCCAGCGGTAGCGGTGCTGTCCACACGCCCGTCCACACTCCCGCCGCCGTTGCCGGTGATGCCACCATCACCCAGGTGAAGACGGCCACGGTCAAGGCCGTCCAGGCCGAGTCGGTCTCCACTCCCGTCGTCGAGGCCGCCGCCGTCGAGGCCGAGTCTGTCGACACCTCCGACGAGGACTCCGAGGAGCTGTGCGCCGTCCAGACCGTCACCGTCACCAACCCCAACAAGGTCACCGTCACCGTCACCCAGCCCGCCACGTCGGGCGTCCAGGGCGCCACATCGGCCCCGGTCGTCCCCGTCACCCCGTCCTCGGCGGCTGGTGTTCCCTCGGTCCCTGCGGCTTCGGTTCCTGCCGCCTCGGCTCCCGCTGCCTCTGTCCCCGCGGCGTCCGCTCCCGCTGGCTCTGCTCCCGTGGCTTCGGTCCCTGCCGCCAGCTCCCCCGCGGCTGTGACCTCCGCCCCCGGTGCCCCCGGTGTCCCGGCTACCCAGCTCACCACCTCGACCGTCTACAGCACCCAGACCACCACTGACGCCACTGGCGGCGTTGTCACCGTTACCGTCCCGGTCTCGACCACCGTCTGCCCCGTGACCGCCACTGAGGGTGCCTCCACCCCGGCTGCTGGTGTTCCTTCGGCTTCCGCCCCTGCTGGCTCTGCCCCTGTCGCTTCCGTCCCTGCGGCCTCTGCCCCGGCTGGCTCTGCTCCCGTGGCGTCCGTCCCTGCGGCCTCTGCCCCTGCTGGCTCTGCTCCCGTCGCCTCGGTTCCCGCCGCCTCGGCCCCTGCTGGCTCGGCCCCTGCGGCCTCGGTCCCTGCGGCTTCCGTCCCTGCCACCTCGGCTCCCGTTGCGGCCACCACCCCCGCCGCTGGTGTTCCCGGTGTCCCGGCTACTCAGCTCACCACCTCGACCATCTACAGCACCCAGACCACCACTGACGCCACTGGCGGTGTTGTCACTGTCACCGTCCCGGTCTCCACGACCGTCTGCCCTGTGACCGCCACCGAGGGTGCCTCCACTCCCGTCGCGCCTGTCCCTACTACCGATGCCGCTCAGATCACCTCTGCCCCGGCTGTCTCGGCCACCCAGTGGACCACCTCGACCATCTACTCCACCCAGATCTCCACTGGCGCTGACGGCGGTGTCACCACCATCACCGTCCCCATCACCACCACGGTCTGCCCTGTGACCGCCACCGAGGGTGCTGCCACTCCTTCCAGCATTGCCCAGACTCCCGTTGCCACTCCCAGCTCCAGCGCCGCGGCTGTCACCAGCGCTCCTGCCTCTTCCGTCGTCTCTAGCAGCGCTGTTGCCTCGGCCACCTCCACCCCCTCCTCCTCCTCCGGCTCTGCCAAGAGGGGTCTTGTCTACAACACCTTCTCCTTGATCTCCGAGTTCTCTGCCTCCGTCAGCATCGGCTGGATGTACAACTGGGCTCAGACCCCTGGTGGAACCATTCCTTCTACCTTGGAGTACGTTCCTCAGCTGTGGGGTCTCCGCACCGCCTACGACACTCCCGACTGGAAGAGCAACGCCGAGGAGCAGATTAGCCTTGGTTCCACTCACCTTATGGGTTACAACGAGCCCGATGTTGAGGATGGTGCCGGTGGTTCGTTCCTGAGCGCCACCGAGGCCGCCGAGGGCTGGATGACGTACATGCAGCCCTTCGCCGGCAAGGCCAAGCTTGTCTCTCCCGGTGTCTGCAACGGTGAGGGTGTCCGCCCCGCCACTGGCCGCAACCAGGGTCTGGACTGGCTCGAGGACTTCGTCAGCGCCTGCAGCAGCTGCACCATTGACAAGATCAACGTCCACTGGTATGCTTCGTACACCGGCATGGGCTCCGACATGGAGACGGTTGTCAGCTACTTCAAGGAGTACATGGAGAAGGCCTACAAGAAGTTCAACAAGCCCCTCTGGGTCACCGAGTTCGAGCTCCAGGGTCTCGACGGCGTCGAGGGCGCTGACGAGATCGAGGCCAAGTTCATCAAGGAGATCGACACCTACGTTGCCTCGACCGCGTGGATCGAGCGCTACTCGTACTTCAAGACGGAGACGATCGTCACCAAGACGGCCCTCAAGACGGCTTACATTTCGTAAGCTCAGCGTTCTCTAGCTAGGCCAAGACTCGGATGAAACGTACGGACAATAAATTTCCATTTTGGGGCCATCTATCTTCTCTCCAAATCCAGCGAGAGAGGAGCGGAGAGGCGTGTGTTTTGAGCGGGTTTATTTGCTGAACTTGGGATCTATCTTTTTTTATTTGCGGCTGGCTTTTTTCGAGAGGGGACTGCCGGGAACATAGTAGTTGGGGGCCGCTGGTACATAAGTTGGCTCTGCCTGGTTTCTCTTTCTCTTGTGTTTATAATGTTGATATCAAACCTGTTTCTATACTTTTTCTCCCTCTCCTTGCCTTACCTACCTAGGTACCTACTATTTTTTAGTACAGCTTTTGACGAGGATACGAAAGTCGGAGTTTCTATCTACTACAACTACAACAACAACAACAAATTTCAACAACTTCAACAATTTCGACTACAGCGACGACAACTACAACAACATCAGCAACATCAGCAACATCAGCAACAACACCAAGGGGTTTTTTCCTGCACCAAAAGCGCCGGACAGGTAGACAGACAGACAGGTACCCAGGCAGGTAGACGGTAACGGCAACGACAGCGACACTGCCACCGACACCGACCACCGCCAAGCCAGCGCCCAAAAGTCTAGACCCCGTGATCGGCACGCTCGTAACCGATACTAGATATGTATGGTAGATTGCTCGTTGACCGCTTTCTCTCTGGCTGTCAGTGCCTGTCAGTGTCGCCCCCTGACGACTTAAGAGTGAGACACCACACCACTACTATGACGCGCAAGGCAGGTATCGCCGGTTGCTAATCTCTGAGTTTGTTTGGATCTTGTCTTGTCTTGTCTCGTGCTGTGTTATCTCATGGCTTCTTGGCACCAGCACTACCACCACGGCAGCTTTACAATAGCACGTACTTGCCGATAGTGGCTAGCGAGAAGCGAGGAGAGTTCGGTGAGGCTTACGTCACGCATTGGGGGGGGCGAAATTGCTGGGTGGGGTCGTGGGCGTTGGGTGTTGTGGTGCCGTTGTGCCGGCTTGGTAGTTGGTTTGTAGGCTGGGTTGGTTGGGTTGGGCTGGGTAGGGGAGGGGAGGGAAGGGTGTGGGTTGTGGGAAGGAGGAGGATATTGTAGAGGTAGAGGTAGGTAACTAGGTACACAGAAGGATTGGCATTGGCACTGCCTGCTATTGCCTGCTATTGCCTCCCGAGTCAACTACCTACAAACAATACAGACGGGAAACCGAGAACCCGAGAATCCGAGAACCCGAGGACTGAGAGACGGGCCAAGGCCAAAGGGGCAAGCAAAAAACACAAGAACATGAACATGAACAGGGGGCGCGCCAGCAAACAATGATGGGACGAGCATTAAGGACGCCTGCGCCCGTGCCTGTGGGCGTGCACGCTTTGCTCTTTGCTTTTTTTGCTTTTTTTGCTTTTGCCTGACTGACTGACTGACTGAGCATGGAGCATGGAGCACAGGCTGACTGCTTTGCTCAATGCTCAATGCTCAGTGCCAGGATGCTCGGTGCCCAATGCTCGGCGCACGGATGCTGGGTTTGAGTTCGGACGCGAACCCCGTGGCTCGATGATCGCGCGAGAGCACGGCTCGGTCCGTGGACTTGGGGCTTGGGGCTTGGCGGTGGGTTGCGAGGCGAGGTGGGTTTGTGTGGGTTGAGAGGGGGGTGTGCGTGCGTGCTAGGTGGGTGGGTGGGTGGGTGAATTGTTGCGTAGGTTGCTTGGGAAAGGGGTGCGTGTAGGCGGATGGAGTATGGGGATGGGGAAGGGGCAGAGGTTGGGGATACGAGGTTGAGATGGGGATGATGGGGGATGGGGGATGGGGATGGCTATTTTCGTGGCAATAAGGCAGGTAGGCGGCAGTGCCTACAATACAAACATCTGCGTGTATGTGTACGTATACAGCAGGCAAGCAAGCACGCGTGCGAGCCTACGTGCAGTCAGTCCGGCCTGCGGACGTGGTTAATTAGTTAATATTGTACAATAATAGCGAGGTAAGACAGGACGCGTATACACACAATATGTACGAAAATAGGTCTTGGGAGTAATCATCATTCAGTCTGTAGTAGAGAAATAGCAGGATAGGCCAGGCCGGCAAGGCAGACTGGCTGGCTGGCTGCACGGCACCTATCCTGCCCGCCACCACCATCACCACCACCACCGCATTGCATGCAGGGAGGCCACTCTCCGTGAGTAATCCTAATACGCAGTAATACCAAACGCACCCTCGCCAGCCAGCCAGCCGTCGGCACGGCACGAGTCGACTCACCCTCCCAAGCCGCCGCCAGGGCCGCCGCCGCAAGGCCACACGCCCGCGGGCCCAAATCAATGCGCTATAGCGGCTCCGCTCCCTGCTTTAACGCGCCTTACTCGTAGGTGCCTGGGCCGTGCCTGAGCCTCGCTCGCCTGAACTGCTCACGCCCCTGATCGGGGCTCGTCCGCAATCTATATCCACATCCGCGCCCCGCCGTCGCCGCCGCCGTAGGGCCCAGCGCGCAGTCCTGGAGTGCCGGGGAGGCCTGGACTCGAGTCGAGTCGAGTCGGGCTCGGCAGGCCGCTGCTGCTGCTTCCTTGCTTGCGTGCTGCTGGTGGCGGTTGCCATTGCTTGCTCGGCAGAGAGAGAGAGAGAGAAAGTGTGTGTGTGTGTGTGTGTGTGTATGGAGTAGCGGGCGTTGTCTGTAGTTTTAGGCGATGCGATGAGGTGCTAGACGCAAAGCTAATCCGTAGGTACGTAGTAAGTAGGTAGGTATGCCGACCCCTGGCTGGCGGTGTACAATACAATACGCAGCTGCTGACCGACGGCGGGCGGTTCGATCTTCCTTCCATGATCCATCGAAGCTTCTATGCTGTGGGACCGGCTGTCGGGTATCCTGTACCGTATCTTCTATCCTTGGAACAGGAAAAAGAAAAATGGAAAGAAAGAAAGTGAATGTGTAGATGTGCACACCACGAACCATTCAACCTTACCTACTCACCTACCCCGTATGCACACCACCTTCTTACGCACCACACGCTATGTACCCGTATCCAGCGCAAGAGCGCCCTCCCCGCCCAATCGAGCAAGCAAACACAAGCGACGCGCGAGCCAAACTACTGCATCGAGCAGCGCCAGCGGGGTAGGATACGAGACATAAGTGGGTAAGGCGGTAGGTGGGTGCTGTACGTACCACTTACACTACCCAGGGCATCCAACAATCGGCAGCAGCAACACGCCAGAAAACGGGTAAGTGGGCCAAGCGACGCGACGCGACGGGACGACGGATGGATGAAAAAAGAAAGACGGACACACGCGCACGCCCCGACCACCTACCTACCTATGAACCCCGGGAGTCCCGTGTCCCGTCCGCGCTCTCCGAGCCGTCCCAACCTAGTCCTCGTTTCCCGATTTAGCCGCCCACCTAGGTACGCACGCTCGGCCACCACCACATGCCTATTGTAGGTAGGTAGGGACAAGATACCCTCTCGGGAGTCAGTCAGTCAGTCAAGACTCGAGAGCGGCGAAAAGAAAAAATAAATAAAATGGGCGACCAGTCCGGGGAGGGGGTGTCGGATACAGCTGCCTGACTGACTGACTGACTGGATCAAGCCACCCCGTCCTCGGTCAGCCGTCTCGGAGGAGGAAACCCTACCTACTATAGTCCAGCAGGAAAGAGACAGAAACAGAAAGAGGCGGCTCTCCCACACAGCCACCCTAACCCACCCGCGTAATCCATCCGTACAGTACTACATACGTACCATACATACACACCCCGTACACACACGTGCGCGCCAGTCCAACACACGCCTCGTGGCGGTGCTGCAGGAGCGAAACATGCGCACAAGCACGCACGCACGCACGCACGCAGGACGGGCACTGGACTTCGCCGGCCGTTGCGCCTGCGTAACTAACGCGCATGCATGCGTGCGTGCGTGCGTTGCGTGCAACTGCAACTGCAGTGCCATGCCTGTAACGCGGTGCAGCGCACGCGAGCGAGGCTGGCTGTCTGTCGTCGTACCGGGCGGGCGTTGTCGTACAGGGCGCTTGCAAGCTTCGGGAGCGCGCGGTTGTGCGGAGGGGAGGGGGAGGTTGGGAGAGATGTCCGTCCAGTGGGTAGGTAGGTAGGTAGGTAGGTACGGGGTAGACGGGTGGGTGGGATACTGCCGTGGTGTGCATGGCCGTGGTGGTGGTGCTGGGCAGTTAATCGGACGAGAACAATATTCGAGAGTGACAATGACAATGACAATGACAATGACAATGACAGTGACAGTGACAGTGACAGCAACAACAAACAGATCCTAGCTAGCATTCAACCACAAACAAAAAACCCCATACTCGAAACGTCTGCTTTTTTACCCGCCTCCCGAAAAACTAAACGCCGCGCTCTTGCAATCTACAGCAACCAACCAACCAACCAACCAAATCACCACCCCCTTCGCTGTCCCCTCGCCTCATGGCCCTTCTCCTTCCGCCGTGCCTTCGTATTCTCGTGCTTCCTCCTCTTAACGCGCTCCGCCCTCTCGGGCTCCCGAACAGCCTCCAGCCTGCGCTTGACCCTGCGGCTCTCGCGGCGCTCCTTGACGCCCTCGCGCACCTTCTGCAGCACGGCCACGTACTCGCTCGTGCCCAGCTTCTTCTGCAGCAGCGCCATGACCTCGTGCGCCGTGCCGACGAGGCCCTTGTGCGCCTCGTTGAACGCCTCGTCCAGCGACGCTGCCGTCGTGATCGTCGCGTCCGTGAGGTTGTGCAGCGGCAGGAGGATGGTCGGCAGAGTGGGCCGGAGTGCTTCGAGGGGCAGTGCGTTGCTGAGCGCCGCGATGAGCGTCATCGACGCCGTCTTCGGGTACAGCGACGGCGCGCGCGTCGTTGCCGGCTCCCGGCGCAGGATCGCTGATAGTCGCTCGAAAAGGTATTGCAGTGCCGTCTTGCCGCTGGCTGCTGTGTTGTTTGCGTCCGCGCCGTCAACGGCTTCCTCGTCTTCTTCTTCTTCTTCTTCTTCTTCTTCCTCTGCCTCTTTCAGTGCGCTTTCGTCCACTGCGTTGGGCGCCTTCCAGCGCAGCTCGTTGGCGGCAAAGCAGCGGCCGAGAAAGACGAGGTTGCGCACGGCCTGCGTCGCCAGCTCCTCGCTCACGCCTGGTACCCTCAAGATCCTCAGACTGGCGCTGGTCAGGTCGAGCATGTCCTCGCCGGTGAGACCAAGGCCGCCGGAGCCGACCAGTGGCAGCTTCGCGTAGCCTTCCGATGCGTTGTGGCTTGCAAAGTCGCTGAAATACAATCCGATGAGTCTGGCAGCGGAAAGTTTGACCCAGCCATGTGGGAAGGTCAAGCTTTCCCGGATGATTGTCCAAACAGGCTGTGCGCCAGCAGCGAACGTCTTATCGGGCGTCAACTTGCACAGCTTTGCAAAGGCTTGGAGAGAGTAGTAAAGCAACTCCCAGTCGCCCTCTTCTTGCCGCTCGCGTGCCTCTTCCATGATAGCTGGCAGCTGCCTCAGGACGTAGTTGACATCCTTGGTCTTGCCTTCGGTCTGCTCGAAGTAGAGAGTCCAACATTGAATAGCCAGACGCCTCTTCAGCGTTTGTTCCTCCTGTTCGAACCATGTCTTCATGATGGAGACAAACTTCTTCGTGCGCTCGGCATCGGCGCGCTCAAACACCTTCTTGAGCAAAGCGCCAGCCATTTCTCTGCAGTCCTTGTCGTCATCGTTCACCAAGCGCAGGACCAAGGGCGCGAAAACATTGTCGGCAATATCCTGTACAAGCTCATCGCCGACCTTGTTCAATAGAAGATGCAGCGCTTCCATGACCGACTGCCTACCCTCCTTGTACTTGTAGTCCAAGTTCTTGACAAGGAAGGCGATTTGCTTTGACAATCTGTCCTTGCTTTGCGGGTACTCCATGATGAACTGGAAATAGACGTTTCGCGACAGGTCACGAGCTGTACGGGTCTGGTTGGTTACCATGACCGCAGCGACCGTGTCCATGATATCGTAGACCTCTGTGATGACGATCTTACGACTAAGGACCGCCTTGAGGAAATTGAAGGTTACACCTTGCCGGTCAGGCTGCTCCAAATCATCCTTGACGCGCTTCAGAAGGTATGCAACATCTTTCTCCTTCACGTTGGCGTTCCTGCGTTCCCGAAGGACAGCTGACACCAGCTTCAAGCATGCCTGAGCGAGCTCGGTATTGGTATCACGCTCGTTTCGGAGGATCCGAACAGCTTCGGCGGCGTAAACTGGAGCATCCTTGTCGAGCTGCTCAAGAGGAACCTTGATGATTGAGCTCAGCAAGCGGATGGCAGACATCTGGATCTCCTCCTGGCCCGAGACGACAGCATCACCAATGATAGGCATGAAGCCCGCAATGTTTTTCGGCGTTCTTAACTCGTCGTGCTTCTGCAACACTGTCCGCAAAACGTCAAGGGAAAAGCGAATAAGCTTGTGAATGTGTGACGTGGTAGCTCCACGATTCGACATCTTGTTCGCAGCCTTCATGTTAATGAGGTAGCGCTTCGTACGGGGATCTTCCTCCTCCTTCGGACGATCAGACGTGTTGGCCTTGTAGACCGCTTGGATAAGCTGGTAACAGAAGACCAGCACGTCACGGTTCCCGTTCTCGATGGCTTCGTTGTGAAGTACACCAAGTCCGATGCGACGCAGTAATTCGTCGATCTTCTTCACCATCTTGATATCTAACCTCTCGAGCAACAAAGCCTGAACGGGATTGATGAGGTCCACAAAATGCGTGACCGTGGTGGACTTGGCAATCAGTTCCATGGAATCAAAGCTCTTGCTGCTCTTCACTTCCTTCATCTTGCTGATGTACTCTTCAGCGTCCTTTTCTTGGCCCGTGACTCCAAAGATATCGTCCATAGCCACAGAGACGACTTCGTTAAGGCAGTAGTCGAGTTCACCTGGCTGGAACGTAGGAGTCATAGAAACAAGAATGGAGTGGACAGTGAAGGAAAGCACGTGAAGTTGGTAACCACGCTGCAGAGCCGTGCGCAAAGCCTTCAGCATAAAGCCAAAGTACTCTGGACCGATGAGGGCTGAAATGTCTGCCAAAGTCTTCCTTGTCATGTCTCGTGCCGTTTGGTCTCTACTACGCAAAATCGCAGAGACGTCCAAAAGCACGGGAGGTAGGCGTTCGGCAAACTGGTCGGCGGGTAACAGACGGAGAAGCTTAACTATGATGACAGCCACAGGAACACGCAAGCTGACAGTCGAGTCATCCTTGTGGTGTATGTAGGCCATGAGTGGCGGGAGAAGATTGTTCGTGAAGTCTGCAGAGAGCTTGTCTTGGCTAGGCAGGGTCTTCGCGAGCTTGGGAGCCTCATTCGTAGGGGCAGTTTGGGCCCCGTCTGCATCGGCCATCTCCTCGTCTTCCGTTTGGGTGGTGCCTTCCGAGCGCGGCGCAGAAACGATGCCCTTAACTTGTGCGGCCTTGTCGAGGCTGTCAATTACGACACCCAAAAGCCTTATGGTGGTTTTGTCCATATCACCCTTGCTGTACCTTCGGACCAGAGCGCGGTACTGAGGCCATTCCAATGATTGAGCCAGGGCACCTATCGCACGAGTCGTCTCACCAGCAAGATTGGCTGCACCGCTATCATCCTCTTCTCTGTCGAAAATGAAGTGCTCCAACAGAGGTATGAAGATGTGGGCAATGTTGCCACTGGCAAGCTTGCTGGCCTCGCCCGCCAGCCTTCGCAGAGCACGCATACGGCGGTGCTGCTGGATGTGCAGAACGTTGCCGAAGAAAGAGGCTTCCTCGTCATCGTCTACGAGGAGTACGTGCATATCACTGACAACGGACCAATCAGGGAAGTGACGCACTATCCGAGCCAAAACAGATAGGTACTCCGTCCGAACCAACTCAGAGTTTTCTCGAACACCGTTGTGGATGCCCGGAATTATGGCCGTGGTAATGAGCTTTTGGAAGCTCTCCACATCCGCGTTACCTTCCTTCGCAGCCATTTCGACGAAGCGCCTAAGCGTAAAAGAAGAGTTGATTCGAAGTACCAGCTCCTCCTTCTCCTTGATATAGAACAACATGTTGTAAACGAGCGGAAGCCACTGTTTGATGCTGAAAGATTGATACTTGTCCTCGTTGATAAGGTGGAACGCCTTGGAACGAAGATCAAAGTCAGGCTCATCAAGCGCGGTTTTCGAGAAGGCATTGAGATCGTGGGATATGGAAGCAACTTCAGTAAGTTCCGGATCAATGTTCGCAAGGTCTTCCAGGACATTGCAAGTCAGCTCACGGCTTCTCCGGTCTTGGAAATAGCCAAACAATGAGCTAGTGACCTGGAAGACCTGCTGGGTAAGCTCATCATCAGGACCAAGCTTGTGACGTGGGACAAAGTTGTGCAAGATATTGAGAAGATCACCCTTCGTCCTTGGACTGACCCGCCTTGTAGGCTGCTGTAACAAGAAGATCGAGATGTTGATCATAGAGTCCGCTTCGGCAGAACCCACAACGAAAGGAGCAAGGCGTGAGACGGTCTGCACACCCGCCTCAAGGAGATCTTTGCTGGGACTCCGTTGGAGTTCGGCGCCAATACGAGTCAAAAATGCTCCCGCTTTGGGACCAAGGACATTGCTCTGCACCCAGGTCGGGCTTGCAGTTGTAGGTTGGTCGACGTCCATTGGGTCCGCTTCAGCAATCGTAATTACATTTTGGAGGATACTCCGCAAAATGAAGAGCTTGACCTCTTCCTTGGCAAAGGTAATCTCAAGACACTCGGCGACCTTGTCCAGAAGAGAGTTGTTGAACTGGACGAGGAACGATACTGTCTGGGGAAATTTGCTCCAGGCAGATACGAGCTTGAGGATACCAGAAACAGATTGCGCTGTCTCCACCGGAAGCTTCTCCAGCTTAGGATTGACCAACTCTTCGAGAATCGAGGGAACGTAACCGCTCCATTCAAACTCAGGACAGTTGTTGAAAAGAAGGTTCAGGCAATGGAAGCCAACTTGTCTGATTGAATTGAGTATGGACAGCTGAACTCCGCTTGACGTCTTCTCCTCCCCCTTGGAGGTTGCGGAGACGGTACGCGAAGCGGTGATCAAGCAGTAGAGGACAGGGTCGATGAGTTGGCCGGCGAAGGGAGATAGCTGTGTTCCGAGGATATCCAGCATATCTTCCAACATATTGAGAAGACCAAACTGTTTCCGGGGGTCCAGTAGGTTCTTTGACAAATATTTCTCTTGCAGATTGCCGTCTTTTACGAGCGAAAGTCCAGCTAACGGGCCCAGAGCAATGTCAATGAATTGTCGAATTTCATCGTCGCCAAACTTCGTAAGAGCGATGAACACCGCCTTTCTCCGGGACTCTTGGCCACGTCGTCCGCTGGCAGATCCAGCGCGAGCGATGACCTTACCATAGAGCATTCGCAGGACCACAGGCATCACGTCAGTACGATCGTCGACTTGCATCGACTCGTCATCTTGCCCGATGTCTAGGAACACCGAAACCTGCTCTCGGAATCTTGCGTCGTCAAGGAGATTCATCAGATTCTCTTCATAACGGTTAATACTGCGGTTCTTCCAGGTGAGAACAGCCTTGAGGGCAGACTTTTGGATTTCCACATCACCATTGGCAAGGAGTGCCAACAGCGCAGAATAAACGTCAGCCGATCTGAAGAGCACCTTCGGGTTGGTGAACTGGGAGAATAATGAAAGCATGGCTTTTTGATCCTTCCTTGACCAGCTAGCGCCCTCGGCAGATGCTGAGGCATCTTCCGAGTCGTCTTCCGGCACTGGCGCCTCGACGTTGGAAGCTTCATCTCCGACGGCCCACCTCAGAAGGGTAGGGACGAGAGATCTGGACCTCTTCTCTGCGACCTGGGGAATAACACTCAGCACGCGCAAAGCCTGTGAGCGGCTTGCGCTAGTAATGAAACTAATCTGCTTATGCTCTTCCTTGAACCTGTGCTGGATTTGTTGAGCAGCATCTTCAAGTGTCTTCGATGTCCTCTCAACTTCTGCAGTAAGCTGGGAAAGATTGCTGCATTCAAACTCATTGACCGCAACGCCTGCGGAAGGTTCATTGCTGGATTCCATGGAGTCATCCGAGGAAACCACAGTTTGTGGTACGCCATCAAGCCACGCGAAGGCGAGTTGCGAAACTGCCTGCTCGCCTTCCTTCGTTTCGCAGATCTCCTTCAGTGCGTTGCAAGAGTCTCCCCATACTTGCGTGAAGTTGACGTAAAGAAGGCCGAAACAGTAAGTGGGAATTGCCCTCGATAGCCAAGTGTCGTTTGCTACAGACTTGTAGCTTGATGCAAGGCGCCGAATGTGCATGGAAACATTGCGTGCTGTCTGAATGTTGAGTGGAATACTCTCAATCAGAACAGCAGTGTTAAGAACATCTGACTCCTCGCCATTGTGTTTGAGGTCGTAAACGAGCTTCAAGATGTCCAGAGCCGAAGTTCGCAACTCGTGAGAAGGGGAGCCAAGACACTCAATAAGCGCGTCGGCGAGGACCTCGATATGATCCCCGTTGACATCTATCGAACTTGGGTGGGCCCTCGCATATCTGCATAATGCGTCCCAGAAGACTGGATAACGCATATATGTACTGGAAGAACGACAAAGGGGTATCCACAGTGATTTGTCTGCGTTTTTTGCTTCTCCGTCGTGGCTAGCGACATACCTGAAGCCCGAGCCCACAGCAAACTGCTGCCAGGGAAGGATCTCTTGTGCTGCAGTTTCTTTAATTGACCCATTAAGGAGTTTATAGAGCTCAGCATATATGCCGGACTCTGTCTTCGGGTCAACCGTTGAAATTCGAACAATATCCAAGAAGGCGTTGCATTTGGCAGCTTGATCTTGGGATCCTTCAGGTGAATCTTTGGAAAGGCCGCGGAACGATTCTAAGATATCCTCTTGCCACTTTTGCGGGCACAATAATGGAGAACTTGAGAAACAGCCTTGACCAGCAAGACGTGGAAGTAGAATAGCGAGTTTTTCCGAATCTTGGTTCCATCGAGTTACGATAAACCTGACAGGAGTTAGCAATAACCCAAGCACATGATATTAAACGGTGAACATACTTCCGAAACTGCGGCATAATCAAACTTTGAAACCTCTGTTGTCCAATTTCAGCGAAGAAATTACAGAAGGGCAAGAACGCCTCCTGCCATGGACCACTGGATATGGTATCCACAATCTTCAAGTGAGGAATTGCGACATCCATTGGACAGCTTTGTAAGATAACCGCGAGCGTAGCAAGGACATCTGACGCCGACCTGACATCGGATGTAACTTTGTTGGACTCGGCCGAGTATATGACTTGAGCTATACCCCGCATTACGGAGCTCCAGTCCTCGACCCGAGTCCCTTTCCTGACACCTGATACAGTGAACAAGAGACGCGCAGCATCTTCCAGCTTCTTCTTGTCCATTTGAGCTCCCGGTCCATCAACTTGTTCCAGCACTACATCCAAAATTGGTTTGAAATTTTCCGAGTCCGTATGGTGGATGATGGCAGTAAGGACACCCTGAACAACGTTCATCGCTGGCCTTTCATGGGGTACCAAGGAGTCCGTCTCTCCAGAAACAAGAGCTTGGGCCAGTAGCACTTTGAATACAGCCTGGCCGCTCGAATGCAATCCTCTCTGCAGTCCCTTGATAGACTCGATAAAGAGGGACATGAGGCCTAGCTCATACTGCTCTGCATCTCCCCGTTCCGCCGTTTCTTCAAGATCCTTTAGCGCATGCGCCATTATCGTCACTAGCGGTTCCTTGTCCCTGTAATATGATGCGCCGGCTTTCCTCAACAGGAAGCTCATGGCTTCGGCCGCGAACCTAGTGATAAAATGTTTTTGGTGTTCCTTGCCTAACATTGGCGCCACGAGATCGTAGAGAGGTCGGAGATCGGGGACCAAAAGGCGGGAAAGGTACTTGAACAGCCATGCCAGGCAGGTAAAGCTCCATTCTATCACCTCGATGTCCGGGTGTTTCGCGGCTACCTGGCAGATGGTCTTCACAGTGCGCGCAAAGTGCTTCTCAAACCTCGCGCCCAAATCGTGAGCAAAACGCGAGGTAAGATTCAGCAGCGGTTCCAAAGACAGAGCATCCCCCTTCTCAATGTATGTGATAAGCAGGTCCATGATGCGATCATCGTAGTGGAGGATTTGCGGCAGGCTTTCGATGAGCGGCTCCAGCTGGCGGGAGAACTGCCTGAAGTTCTCGGAGAGGTTGAGGTCCAGCCATTCTTCGAAAGAAGTCTTGAGGTAAGAGGTGCTGGCAGAGAGATCCGATTCGTCTGGCGCGCGGCGAGTCCTGCGGACTGGGTCGATATTGAGTTTTGCGATGCGCTGCGAGAAAGATTCGAAATGGTGCCTGCGCGACGACGCGGTGCCGCCCTTCTTCGGCTTAGTGACCTTGGAGGCCTTCTTGTCTTTTCCTCTCGACATGGCAGCCATGGTGTTGCGCAGCTGGCGATGTTGCGGAGGTGTCGCGGGCAAAGCTCAGAAAAATCCCAGGACCGGTCGGCGTTTGCGACCACCAATCACCGACGTAAATCTTGGCGTCGCGCTAGTGGGGCGTTAGTGGACCGTTACCAAAGCCGGTCATCGTTCTCGAACCTCGACGCGTGCTAGCTGTGACGCGCTGCTTGATCCACTTCTTCAACGCACAACTGGAGATTGTGATGAGGACTTGAGGAGCCACACTGTCCTAAGCCTGTTAATAATTCACTACTATCGACCTTCGCCATGGCTTCAAAAATGTAAGCTGAAATCTTTCTTTTTGCAGCCTCAAACTTCCTTCTCTACAGTCCTTCTCAATGGCTCCAAGCATATTTTCTAGGAGTTCTATTTCGAATACGTCCTACAGCATCCTGGCCTCACTAAACATCTCTAATCATGTCCCAGCGTTGTAGTAGGCGATGTCAACGGCCAATTCCCCGAAGTCTTCAAGAAAATCGCAGGGCTGCACGCGAAGAACGCGTTTGCGTTTGCTATAGTGGTGGGTGACTTGTTCACCGATCCCCAGATAGCCAAGCCCGAAGATGAAGAAAACGAGTCAAACTTGGTCAATGGGAAGATTGAGATACCTCTGCCCATCTACTTCGCTCTTGGCCAGCGTTCTCTTCCTGTAAAGATTGTCCAAAAGCTCGAAGAGACGGGGGGAGAGATTTGCTCGAATTTGTCCTTTCTCGGAAAGCGCAGCACTTTGAAGACTTCTGAAGGCATCCGCGTCGTTGCTCTCGGAGGCGCCTTAGATCCAAGGATAACCGTTGGGGTATCCAAGGACAAGTACCCGCCGTTCTATGGTGAAGACGATGCACGAGCACTGCGGGGGGCCAACTCCGCGGATATCCTCATCACGAGTCAATGGCCTGCCTCAATTCGCACCGGATCCAAGGTCGACTTTGCCGCCGAAGGAGAAGAAGGGTTGTTCCAGAAGCAATGCGTAGCAGATCTCTGTGCCGCGCTCAAGCCACGCTATCATTTCTCCGTTTCACCAAATGCGTTCTATGAGCGTGAGCCGTTTTTTCATCCACCCTCTGATGAGACTTCTGAGGGATACCGTATCACGCGCTTCATCAGCCTCGCGCCATATGGCAACCCTAAGAAGGCCAAGTGGATCTATGCTTTCTCTATCGACCCGACGGCTGCGCCACCAGTGACAATCCCCGGCGGCACAACGGCGTCTCCCCTTGCATTCGTAGGGAAGAAGCGGCCTCAACAAAGTCAGGAGTCATCCTACCGCTTCTCTACGGAAGGCCGGCAGCCACGCGGTCGCAACAAGCGTCAACGTGCGCCGCCTCCGACTCCAGGAGAGTGCTTCTTCTGCCTGTCAAATCCGACTGTTGCCACTCACCTCATTACCTCCATCGGAAACGAGTCATACATGACAACCGCAAAAGGGCCCCTGAGCACTGCGTCGACGTTTGCTCCGTCTCTAAAATCCCCTTGTCATATTCTCATAATTCCGTTCCACCATGCGCCTACTCTCGCCTCTATTGACGACGCCGAGAGCCGCAAAAACACATTCGTTGAAATGTGTCGCTACCGCAGCTCACTGCACGCAATGCTCAAGACCCTCGGCAAATCAGAGCTAGGAGCCGTGAGCTGGGAAGTCAGCAGAGCCGGTGGCATCCACACACACTGGCAGTTCCTTCCCGTGCCTGTTGACCTGATCAAGCGCGGCCTCGTCGAAGCAGCCTTCAAAGTCGAAGCACAGAACGAGAAATACCCTGCTTTCGAGAAGAAGGACGTCGGCGATGGATATGAAGAGGGCAACGACTTCTTCAGGCTGCAAATATGGACGCCGGCCGGTTCAGAAGAGGACTCTGAAGACAAAAAGACGAACCTCATACTTCCCCTCGATTCTTCGTTCCGGTTTGATCTGCAGTTCGGTCGGCGCGTCCTGGCGAAGTTGTTGGGGTTGGATAACAGAGCGCACTGGCAAGACTGCGGACAGACGCACGAGGATGAAGTGGGAGATGCGGAGGCGTTCAAGGCGGCGTTCAAGCCGTATGACTTTTCGTTGGAGGAGTAGAGTTTGAGAAGGGTTGGGACGCTGCTCCAATAGTGAGGAAGCAAAGGTGGATTGCTAAATTTGGCTCTACGTATATACCCTTTCCTGGACTTCGTTCAGAGACCTTATGGTAAAATCCTGTCTAGTTGTGAAGACAAAAATGTACGAGGGTATAGGTATAAGAGCGCAAGGGTGTATTCTAAGAGGACAAGGTGACGAAGTTAACAATTGCTTGGTCTTGACGCGGGTGGGAGACGCGCAAGGGTCGCGACGCGCGTGTCTCCCAAAACCCGCGATTCTGCCGCCGCGGGGAGCGGATACCTAGAGTAAACACCCACAGACGGCACGACCCCAAGCTCCCACGCGCTCTCACCTCTCGACCTCACTCACCACGCCTCCGCACCAACAAGAACCAGCATGCTGCTCCTCGGGCTCACCGGCTCAATCGCAACCGGCAAGTCGACCGTGTCGAACCTGCTGCGCAGCGCGCCGTACAACCTGCCCATCATCGACGCCGACGTCATCGCGCGCCAGGTCGTCGAGCCCGGGACGGCGGGCTACAAGGCCATCGTGGCGCACTTTGGGCCCACGACGCCAGACCTGCTGCTGCCTCCCACCTCGGACAACGACAACGGCGACAACAGCGGCCGCGGCCGCCCGCTCAACCGCCCCGCCCTCGGCCGCAAGGTCTTCGGCTCCAGCGAGCAGACGCAGCGCGACCGCGCCGTGCTAAACGGCATCGTGCACCCCGCGGTGCGGCGCGCCATCTACGGCGCCATCGTGGCCGCGTACCTGCAGGGCCACTGGGCCGTCGTGCTGGACATCCCGCTGCTGTTCGAGAGCGGGTGGGAGCGGTACTGCGGGAGCATCATGGTGGTGGCGGTCTCGGACCCGTCGCAGCAGATAGCGCGGCTGCGCGCGCGGGACGCGCACCTCAGCGACGAGGACGCCCGCAACCGCGTCCTGAGCCAGGGCGATGTGCGCGAGAAGGCGGCGCGCGTGTTGCGCCGCGGCGGCGACGCCGGCCTCGTCGTCTGGAATGATGGCGATCGTGAGCTGCTTGAGATCCGCGTCGCGGAGGCGATGGCGCGCCTGCGCCGCGCGAGCCCCCGCTGGTGGAGCTGGCTGCTGCTGCTTTGTCCGCCGCTGGCGGGCCTGGTTGCTGCGTGGAGCTTTTGGCGGATGCGCAGGGTCCAGCTGCTGTGGGAGGCGGAGAAGGCGCGCGAGAAGGCTAGGCTGTGATTGCTCTGCTTGATGTGGCTTTTTGGTTTACTGGCCTCTGCGCGCAACGACTCGTTCAGCGCTACGCGGGGCTGGCGAATGTGCTCGAGTACTCGGCCGTCGTTGTGCCGTTCCTAGCAGGCGACGAGGCGGCGGATTGCGAGTTTGTGCGCCAGAGTATTGTTTATGAACCGCCGTATGTGCCGGCGCTGGCGGAGCTTAGACGATGGGTGGGCAACACACTAGGATTGATAGCATAACATGGCATGACATAGCTGGTTGTCTCAGTGTGACAGAGTGGGGGGTTAATTAGGTAGAGTACAGTGGCACACGAAGTAACAGGAGACGCTTTGATTATGATGGCAGAGGGGGAAAGGGCGGGTTCTTCCTCCGCAACAACAACAACAACAACAACAACAACAACAACAACAATGACAACGACAATGACAATGACGGGGAAGATAAGATATAAGGGTAAAAACACAGGAGGGAGAAGACGGTGCTTGGTGCCGACGGCAGGATGGAATCAATCAATCGCAGAAAAGAAGTCCAAGATACCTAATCGCAAGAAGTAGTGCCTCTCTTCTCTCTCTCGCGCTTTTCCATGTATGTGTGCAAGCAACAACAACGGCAACGACGTGGCCGTGGCCCAGAGAAACCAAGCACCACGCTCGTCATCTCCCGGGCTGTAGTAGGCCCATCCACCCAGCCTTGAAATTTTTTCCCCCTGTTCCCATGTTCCCCTGTTCCCCTACGAACAAGTCAAACCACATTGCACATTGCCGCAAATGGGAAAAAAACAATAATAATAAAAAAGAGACGAGAGAAGAACGTGACCCACACACACACACACACATGGATCCCATCTCGGCGTCTAAGCGTTAGCATCCTCATGACGGACTCGTCGTCGTCTAAGCCTCGGCAGACTGCTCCTTCTCCTCCTCCTTGAGCTCGGCAGCCGCGTCGGCCGCACCGTCCTTCTCCTGCGCCAACTCGGCGCCCGCATCCGCGTTGCCGTTGACCTGCTGGTTCTTGGCCGAGGGTTTGTTGCCCAAGTCCTTGGCGCCGCCGTTGCCGTTGGTAGCGGCCTCACCCTCGGCCTCGAGCTTCTCGATCTCCTTCTTGGCCTTCTCGATGTTCTGAGATGAGTGTTAGTAATGTTCAAGTTTTATTTGGGCTGAACTGCGGGTCTTGTTGTAGGGGAGAGGAGCTTACCTCCTGGGTCTTCTTGTCCTGGTCCTTCTTCCAGGTCTCGGACTTCTCCTGGAGCTTCTTGACAACGGCAGGGACGTCGGCCTGGCTGGCGGGCGCCTCGACGTTGAGCTTGGACAGCTGCTCGATGATGCCGATGCTCAGGTTGAACTTGCCCTCGGCGGGCGTAGCGGCGGGCGAGGCCTCCTTGTTCTTCCGGCCCTTCTTGCCCTTCTTACCACCGGTGCCGATGAAGTAGTCGTCATCGTCCTTCTTGACAACCTTCATGCCCTTGAGGCCGGAGTCGTCGACGGTCCTGGTGGCAGTGGCGGCGAACTTGTTGGTGTCGGCAGTCTCCTTGGCGGGCAGGGCGCTGGGGTCGAAGTAGCGGATCAGGCCCTCAGCAGTGAGAATCTCGTCAGTGTAAGCGGGCGCGCTGGCCTCCTCGAGCCTCTGGTCGGCAATCTGGCGGCGCTTGGCCGACTCGTACGCCTTCCTCTCAGCCTCCTTCTTCGCCTGGCGGACCTTGTAGGCCTCCTGCTCGTAAGCGCGGTGGTCACGCTTGGCCTGGTAGAAGTTGTCCGACAGCTCCGTGACGGCCTGCTTCTTCGCGGCGTACTCGGAGCGCGCCTTCTCGCGCTGATCCTTCAGCTGAGTGAGGTTCTTGCTGGCAGCATCCTGCTCGGCCCGGATGGCGTCAAGCTCCTTGGTGATCTCAGTGTAGCGGTCGCTCAGCGCCTTGGACTCGGGATCGTCCATGGTCTTGCGGAGGTCGGCGATCTTGGCCTTGGTGTCGTCAATGCCCTTTTGTCCCTGCTCGAAGCCGGCGAAGCTCTTCTTCTGCTTGTGCAGCGAGCTGACATCGGCAAGAGCCTTCTTCTCGTCCACGATCTTCATGGTGCCCGAGTTGACCTGGTCCTCCAGACGCTTGATCTCGCGATCAACATCCTCGACGCTCTTGAAGTTGACGCGACCGCGGGCGGTCTTCTGCTCGGCGATGCGAGACTTGAGCTGCTCGTCGAGCTTCTTGATCTGCTCGAGGGTCTGGGCGCGCGAGCCCTTGCCGGCCTGCTGCTTCTTGCGGATCTCACCCAGCTCGGTCCTGAGCTCAGCGGCCCTCTTTCCGGCGGGCGAGTCCTTGTTGTTGAAGGCGGTTTCAACCTTGGCCTTGGCAGCCTCCTGTTTGTGGTATGATGGTTAGCACCAGTGACGGGTGGACTCGAGACTCGAGTCAGTGCTCATGCAGGTATGCGCAATGCGTACCAGCTTCTCGCTCGCAGCCTGCTGTTCCTTCTTCAGCTTGGCCAGCTCGGCCCTGAACTTTTCCTCGTCGGGCTTCTCGGGCTTGACGACCTGCTGCTTCTTGTCGGACTTCTGCTCGCCGGTAGCCATGGCCGCGGCAGATGGGGTAGCGACTTCGGCCATTGGGTTGTGGATTGGGTGGTGGAGTGGCTGGGAGAAAGGGACAGAGGGGCTTCCGGATCGTGTGGAAGGAAGCAGCTGGAGCGGAGCGCGTGGTTGTAAAGGGCGCACGGGTGATGAAGGGCGTCGAGTGGGATTCTGGCCAAAACCGCGGCGGAACTTTTGGCGAGCGAGCTCGGGGCCCCCCCGTCCCATCGCATTCACTAAGGGTCCAACCACCCACGGGCCCATCCCTGGCACCCACCGCCTCAACACCACTGTGTGTGTGTGAAGAAAGCTGCCTGTTAGAAACCCATTGGTGCCACGGCGCAACCGGCGCCGCCTGAACAGGAATTCGCAGTCACTTGCGTGCGCAGACCCTGAAGTCCAAACCCTGGCTCCCTCGGCCCTTACCGAAAAGGTCATGTCTATCCACGGCTCAAGTAGTGGATCTGAACACGCACTAGAGGCAGTCGATTGAATGTACGCCGCAGGTTTGCTGTCATGCACGTATAACTTGAGCATCAGGTGTGTTGTCCAGTAACAATGTGTTGGAAACAAAAGAGGTTCACGAAATTATCCTTGTGCGCATTATATATTGCAACACAACATGCTGCTTGCTCGACGCTTGAGACCTGGGCATGGAGAGGGACAGAAGGATAGTGCAACTCACGTAGTACCTGCGATATGGGTCACTCTATGAGCCGCTGTTGCTTTCTTGGTGATGGTTTGAGAGGCTTTATGGTGGTGATCTAAAGCTATTGAAAGGTTTCAATATGGTGCGGTTAAATGTTGCATAATTGTATGGATTGGGAGGACATCCTAGTGTGAAATTTACAAAAATGCGTCTATAAAACATAACTAGCAAGAATGAAAGGTTTCAGTGTGTAGTAGGTTGTTATAGTCAGTATTTCTTCCGGGCTCTGAGGTTTGGTTTGGCTTGTCCAAATCACTTCGATTCACTTTTATCGTCACTAGTATTATTGATGAACAATGGTTGAATTCTGATGTTATATAGAGCATATCCTCGTGGCAAGTCAAGTTCTTATTGACATTCTATATATTATAGCTCTAGTAACATTTCAATTCCTTTTATATGAGAAATACAAATTCTTCGTTCCGGCCAGCAAGCTCACCCTCCATAGCTCCATGGAGATAGCAATCGCCAATTACGCGACGATATCGTTGTGCAACGTTTTTCCTGTTATCAGAAAGTAGGCTGGTTTGACTTTCTGGTACAAAAGCATTGTCTCCACTGTCAGGTCTTAGAATAAACGGGACATTGCTACCAAGTGGTATTCAAACTTCATCACCGTTGCACATGTCGGGAGGCCCAAATCCAATGTACCCCATGTTGGTCTGGAAGAACTTCTTTTTGTAAATGTGGGTCTTGACTTCCGATAGTAGGCGATCTCGAATATTTGGATCGGTTTCAGTTTTGGGGAAGAACACTGACATGTTCAGCTGCCCCAGGTCCTCAGTACTGGGCTGTACTATGGATGGATGCGGAAACTGTGATGCTAAGCGGTTACCGATGATGGTTCTCCGGAAAGCGTTTCTGACGTCCTCGCCGTCTCCCTTGTAGGTGCAATCCTTACGATCACCGTATTGAATGAGCATAGCGCATTCAAGTGATACGTACTTTTTGATGCCCTCCTCATTCAATGAAGTGCATTCGTGGGTAGAACTGGCAATTATATCCACATGTATTGCTGCCATAAACAGCACAGCTGTGTTGACAACGCCAACAGAGGATTGCCTTTCCACGGCCGCAACATAGAGTCTTCGGATCTCATTTCGGTTCGCCTCCATAAGCTGGCTGGAGCGATCAGGAGTATATCTGAAATCTTTTACCCATGATGGAGTTGAACTGATATTGGTAGATGCCCTGCCCCTATAAGAAAGTTCGTGCCTTGAAAAAGTATCTCTGTACCAGACAGCGAAGTGGGCTCTCTTTCGTGTGAGAAGGTTTTGGCTAACTTTTCGGTTTAGATATTGAATATCGTAGCCGTATTTCGCCTCGATAGGCTTCTCGTCATCACAAGGGAGTCCAAGTAGTGCAAATATCTTGTCTGGTTTGTCGGAGGCCTCCCGGTTGCTGAAGAGCTGGAAGAGATGCAGAAAGTCGACTTTGTTATCTTTTGTGCGGGCTTTTCTTAGGGCCTCGAGATCTCGATAAAAGTGTTCAAAAGTCTCGAGCGTGGATTTGCCGCGAGTTACGCGGGGGATTCGCCTGAGGATTGCTCGCATGTGCGGTTTGCAACAAGTGCTGCTATGGCTATAAAAGCACACCGCCGCTTCAATCATAACATCCAGTGGCATTCTTGTTGGTCTACACACAATGGTTGCTCGTCTGGGAAGTGCTGCCTCCTGAACTGTCCAGATACGAGCTCACCAGGGCTGACGCATTAAAGAGAACAATGCCTGGACCGGTTCCACGAATCGTTGCTTTTCATTACCAGCGAGTAAATTGATGAACCCATGAATTTCATTCAAATGCTTATTTCCAGCGAGTATTTCCAGAAGCTTAAACGCTTCTTATATTATGGGATAAGCTCTGTGCCATTTACAAGACTGGCCCCCCATTTGTTGCTGATCCATCCATAGTGTATTGGTTGTGTGCTGGAATGGCTTTGCGTGACTGCTGACGGGACCGTATGTTCTTGGAGTTGAAGGCTTCGGAACCGGTGTACGTTTATATTTACAGTCATCAATTCTTTCCGTTTCGCACCACTGGTCGTCAAACTCTCTTTCATTGCCAAGCCAGAGAATTCCTTCCCTACAGGCTTTGTAGATATCACCCATCATGTTAACCTGGCTTGATTTTTCATCGTTGTCGGCCTGGTTGATGCATAGGGCATCAACCCATAGGGAATATCTCTTGTTGTACGACCGTAAATGCCTCAGTGCCGAGCTTAGGTTTACGGTAACGGGAAATTCTTCTCCATCGATGAATATAGATGTTTTAAGGTGTGGATCTCCCCATGCGTAGGAAAGCGCGTCAAAATCGGGATTATCGGTGCTGTCATCCAAAGAAACGTGGCGAATTGTGCAATGAATGGGGTCGTCCCAAAATCTGGGCATCAAATCAATAAGACGGATTTGACGATTGTTTGTTTGAAGCGACCGGTATCGGTATGCTGGACTTCGAATCGAGGAAGTTTCCATAACTTGATGTCTCTTTCCTTTGCAAGCTCTTCACGAACAGAGTGTCTTTTAGTTGATGCGTGCAAGGTGTAGCCTCCAACTCTCAACAAAATGAAAGAGGAATGAGATGGAGGTGGAATATGGCCTGATCAGGCTGGAAACAGGACGTGCAGCTATAAATGTCTCTTTCGTGATCGACCCGCATCAGTAAGCGCTAATTAGGCTTGAGGGAATAATGTCGCATGCTTGCCAGCCAAGCCGAGGAACATGCAGTCTGCATGCGCCACAGTGCACGGAGTAGTCGATTGGACTGTTCGAACCATACCTTATATTTAGGTTAGGCAACAGTGCAATCAGCCCATCTTTCGGGTGCAAACAGACTCTTTACCTTTAAGGTTGGACAGGGACTGATTTCAGATATCACGGACTTACCTCAAATTCCTAACGTCCATACTCTAAGCTGATGGTTCCGATTGCCAAGAGATATTCACAACGTTTGAAAGACACAAGAGAAGCCTCCCAAAAACAAAGATCAAATTCTAGAGCGGAGATCTAAGATCTAACGAGCCACAGCTCAGCTCCATGGCCAACTGTAGGCCCTAAACAATAAGATACAAGCTCGTCAAGACGCTCGGGCCGACAAAAAGGCCAATCCAGAAGACGACGTTGCCGAGGACGTTTCTGCCCTTGAGCAAAGGGGTGCGGCTCAGCGAGACCAGGGGCAGCTGCAGCAACTGCATGGCGAAGAGGTAGCCGCGGACCTTCTTGAACAAGCACAGCATGACGAGTTCATGGACGAGGGCGCTGAGCAAGAAGGTGACGAACGTGGCGCTGCCCTTGCTGAGGTGGAACGTCGAGATGGACGAGTGGTAGACGTGGCGTAGCAGGAAGTTGTGCACCGGCCGGTTCCAGTCGCGCGCGTACTGGTCCCACGACACGCTGTTCCACCAGTCGCCGTAGAAGCCGCGGTCCGCGAAGCGCGTGAGCTCCGCCAGCACGTTCAGCAGACACTCCCAGATGACGTACCACGACAGCAGCTGCTCCAGCAGCAGCGGGAACAGCATGTCGCTGACGATCCATGGGAACTCGGCCGTCCGCTCTTGCAGCGTCATGCCCGCTTCCTTCATTCGCACCGTCTCGGCTACCGGTGGGTAGATGTACGCTTGTGAGATGACCATCATGACCCAGATGACGCCAAAGGTCGCCGCCGTCTTCTCCGCAACGTACCACCAGTTGATACGCTCCTGGCGGGGGTACTCAAGCTCGTAGACGAGGGTGGGCAGGACGCTCCAGTCGGCAAAGTTGGCGAACGTCAAGTTGTTGGGGTAGGCGTTCTTGTCGGATGTAGACTTGCCCCTGAGCTCGACCGTGAGACTCTCGATCTCGTCCTTGATGACCCGAGAAAAGGCATCGAGCTGTTCTTGGTCAAGGGGCTCTCCAGACTCAATGGACGCCGCAATCGTCGAGACCGCGGACTTCTCCTTAAGCAAGTTCGTGGAGGAATTGGTCATGGACGAACGACGGCGCTTGTGAAGGGTGCCTTCTTTGGGCAATTCGAAAGAAGTCGCTATGGGGCTAGTTGGCCGAGAGGAGGCATCTGGCTGCTTTTGACTGAGCTCGTCGAGCTTACCCTCCAGCAGCTGCTTCCGTCGGTAGACCAGAGACACTATGTATACTGTTAGCAGAGTTCAATCAACAACGGCGAATTTCGTTACTTACGGTAGCCGTTGTAGAAGGAGTAACTGTGCTGCTTCATCAAGAAAGCTATGCAATGGAGCACAATGAATATAGTGTGCGTCCAGGGCCATTCGCGGTACACGGTCCAACACAAGACAGCGAAAAGATAGAATGTCTGCCATACGTGCTGGATAATGTATCCGGAGTGGTCCCAAGTCAGAACGCCTTTAGCGACTGCTTTCTGCAAGAGAAAGCCGGCCGCTGTCGCGGCATACATGACGCCATCCGTGAGCCCCAGAACCGCGACATCCCGCTCGAACATCATGTTCCAGATCTCGTTGCCTCCAAAGACACTACCCTGTGTCCTCCAGTTCTTCGACGCAACTCTTATCAACAACAGGGCCATGGCCAGCCAGAAGAGAGTGAAGAATCCGCGGAAAGGCGAGTCATAGCTGAGCGAGTTCTGCCTGTCAAAGGTAGTGAACTGGCGCGTGAAAACCAAATCCCGGAATCTAGCCCGGCGCTTCCGGTTGGGATCTTGTTCGGCCATCTCCTTGTCGATACCATAGCGGAGGATGCGGCGGATCTCGGGATCATCGGCCGTCAATACGTACTTCCCCTTCTTGGCGGTCCGATCAATGGTGACCTGTACGCTCTTCCTCCTCCCAAATGGCGAGTCGCTAGGCTCCCCGGCGGGGGTGCGGACGTCTTCGTACGACGGCTGAGGCGAGGTCTCCTTGCCAATCACGGTTTGGTGATCGCTTCCCGTCGCGACGATTCCTTCATCTTGCGACAACCCTCCTCCCTTGCTTCCTTTTACGATGGCCTCTGCCTCATATTGCTTCTCGTCGTAGTTCTCGCTGTCCGACACACCCGAGTGGACGGCGCTCCAGTCGTCGGAGCTGGAGCTGGGCTGCGAGGGACGTTGGGGGCGAAGGTGGTCAGGGTTGGACGTGGATTCGGCAGGGTCGCGTGCGGGTTTGGGCAGCGCGTCTGCTGCGCTGGTCTCGGGGGCGGACATGGTGGCGCGGAGCTATGGCGAGGGGAGCATGGATGGAGGCAGGTATTAATAGGAAAAAGTCCTAACACGCGTCCGTTAAATTGAGCAGGTCTGTCCACTACCTCAGCCTCTCGTAAATGACGTAAGACACAAAGGAGTGGAAGATCCGTCGGGTCCGGCCAACGGCCAACAGTGGAGCTCACGCTTCGCGACAGCTTTGCTCAAGCGACACTCGGGAGATCTACAAACCAACGGTCGTACGAGTCAACGCTCTGGTACTTTGTAAAAGGACCAAATCTTCTTTCGCGCGCTGTTATCTCGTGATGCCGCAGTCGTCCGTGGCTTGTGCTCTAACAAAAGACATTTAGATGGGCAGTCTTTGCCTCCTTAACTTTGCTCCACGCGACTATGACAATCTCTCTCGGCGAACATCAAAGTCGTCCCTGCACGCGGATGCCCACGGAGTAAGCACACGGATCTCGGACGTGTTTTTCCTCCGCTCCTCCGTTTATCAACCTAGACGTTGTTGCGGCTGAGATGAGAGCTCATGTTGTAAGCTGACCAGGCGCCCTAAGACAAGAAAAGAGCCCACAGGGTACAGTTTCAGTCACATTCGCAAGCCCGTCCTTATTGAGATTATGGCACCGGATAATTTGCCCACCCCCTCTAGATATTTTGCCCATCCTACGTGATAGTATCTATAAAATTATATGATGGGTTTTCTGTTCTTTAAATTTTTAGGTTTCTATACCCTATAGGTAAGTACCTTTATACCCTTCGAATATTTTAATTTTATACCCTTATAGATACTCCGGTAGTCGTGTATATCTATACCTTATACCCTCGTAGTATACTTTAGTACTTATATATTATTACTTTTATATAATTATATAGTTCCAGCGCGATTTCTAAAATAATCGGTAGTGTTTTGGCACCATCTGGAACTCCCGGATGAATACTGCGCCACTACAGACAAGACAGACATGGACAGGAAGAAGCAGGTGGGCAAAATATCTAGAGGAGGTGGGCAAATTATCCGGGGCCTAAGATTATATAACAAGTACTTGCCCGCCAAGAGGATGAGACGTGTTTCCCCGCCTCATTGTGCATCTGCACCTGACCAAAGCTAGCGTTAGACAACCTAGTAAGGCTGAGTCCGTCTTGGCTGCCTGTGTCACCGAGGTCCGAATTATGTAGCACACCCTCCGGCAAGGCTCTTTACAAAAATGTACATGTTCCAGCCAAACAACGCGCCTGATACGCGCTCAGCCGCCCCGGCCCCCGCATGCGCAGCTCAACCCGGCTGTACAACCTGCATTTGCAATAAGTATCTGTACTTAGTGTGGCGGCACAGAAAAACAAGAATAGATGGGGTTGGTAAATATGATTTCTGTTCATATACTCCACCTGTAGCACCGTGTGACCTTCTTCAATCCTCCAGTGAACTATAGTCACTGCTATAATCATCCTTTTGTATACAATGGCCACTGTCACCTCCTGGCGCCCCGATCCCAACAGGTGCGACCAGCTTGGCGGCTTCGTCATCGTATGGAACCGTGCCTTTCTAGCCATTCGTTGTATACTCCTACTAGGCCTCCTGGTGGTCGCCATCCGCTGGTTAGTCACGCAACGAAAAGCCTCCAACGCATTCAAGATAACTCGGTGGCACAATTTCGGCATCGCGCTCGCGTGCATTATCATGTCCGTTTCTGCTGCCACCCAAGCGCTCGCTAGGAGGAGTACTAACAATGGGACAGTGCTAATATTCTTAACATCGTCTATACCTGCCTTACCTACTGTTGGGTACTCAAGCGTCCCAGCGAAACCTATGGCTTCACTATCACCGCCGATATACTTCCATGGATTGCTTATGATATCCTCTTGGTCATCGTTCTAATCCCAATTTGCCGCGGCCTGCAACACCTCCACGGCACCCCCAGGGCCCCATCGCTCATTTTCGGCACTATTCTTTCCAGCATTCTCATCATTCTGACGATCATCTACAACGCCCTTTACATCTGGGAAAATGCGACTCTTGCTACCCAGTTTAAGAATGCGTTCGAAGAGCTTCATTATGTCCGTGCAACACTGTGGCTTCTCTGGCTTCTGGTCGCCATTGCCGCAGATGCTAGCATGCTGGTCTATGTCAATCGCGCTAGGCACAATGCACCGGGTCCTTTGAAAACTTGGATAAGAGTGCTCGCCCTTGCTCTCTTCGCTATGGGTTTCCTCCGGATGTTCCAGTCGTTTTACTACGACGTAGGCCGCAACGACGAACGACATCAAGGTACTAATATTGCCTGGCGCGTATTAAATATGTTTTTTACCTTGCTCGCATTCGCAGCGACTGGCGAAGTTGGTTTTAAGCTAAGCACGGCCTGGAGTTTGATGAATGCCGGTGTGTGGGCACGGTACCCAGGTGACAGTGTTTCGGAAGGGAGACAGCCGCAGTCGCAGTTCTATTTCAACTGAAAGGGAGCTGTAGATCATCGTGAGAAGCGAACGGAGATCCTGCACGCGTTGTCGGGTTGCTTGTGGTCCGACGTGCTTCTTTTCGCTTCAGATACCCAGCACGTTATGACGATCATGTACCATAGCCAGATTTAACTTTTTCTTGACTTCATGTTCCGAGAGAACGTGACAATGGTCTTTCGGGCGGCAGTGTCCCACAGTGAAGTGGTTAGTAAAGATCCAGGTTGAACTGCTCTGCCTGCGCCTGCGCCTGCGCTTGCCCACCGCCCTGGCCTCCACCGGCAGCATACGACTCTCTTCTCCTTCTGTCTGCCTCCGCCCTCTGCCTTTCTTCTTCCTTGCGTCTCTCCTCTTCCTCTTCTGCTGCTTTCCGTGCCCGCTCCGCCTGCTCTTCGGGCGAAAGGACTGTAGTCGGATCTCTCCCTTGTTCCACCATGGTCTGAATCTGACCCAATGCGCCCAGTCTAATCTTGTCTTCAGTCGGCCATGGAACAAATGGAAGAGCACTGAGACCGGCCAGCCAGGTCTTTTGCTCCGCGCTGAGCGTCGCCATGGTGCGCGTTTCTTCGGGTGCCGCTGGGCCGTCTGGTTGCTGTTGTTGCGCAGCGGCAGCGGGAGTGCCGTTTGTCATTACGACATCCTCGTCCGGCTTCTCCTGGACCGCGGCCTCTTCCTTGGTGGGCGGCGGGCGGTAGTTGGGAGGCACGGTAAACTTGCCAATGTGCTTGGCGTAGGCGAGCAGTTCCTGGGTGCCCACGTCGCGAGTGTTGGCAGTGGTTGTGGAGGCGGGAGTGTTGATGAGCTCTTTGCGCGTGTCGGCGAGGGTTGTTAGAGTGGACTTGACTTGAGCGTCGAGGGTATCGGCAGTCTGTCGCAAGGCCAGGATGCGCTGATAGTTGGCCTGGTGGACGGCGACTGAGGAAACAGTATGTCAGCAGAGGCGTAGCGAAGGAAGAAGGCTAGAGCTCAAAGCGCACGTTGCTCCAGGCCGCGACTAAGGTCATCGTCGGCAGCCAGCAGGTCGAGGACGGCCTGGTGGGAGGGGTTGTAGGAGGTAATGGAGTCGATCAAGGCGTTCAGCGCGGCCTCGACGCGAAGAAAGTGCTGGTCGAGAAGGACGTCCATTGTCATCAGTCAGTGGGGAATAGGATCTTTGACGATCTTCCGGTGCCTGAAGCACGCTGCACCTCAAACCAGGGTCGCCAGGGCCCCGCACTGCAAGGGGGGGCGGCTAGAGGCCGTTGGGGGGGAACCAGTGAGGATTATCGCGTTGGGTTGCAGCGTGGCAAGCGTTCGGCGCGCTCGCAACAGGAGCGGTCGCGCCCGTGTGCTGGGGTGATGCGGCGTCGAGATGCGCGGACATCCCCAGCTTTTTGCAAATGAAATGTCTGTCTTCCTCTCGCAAGAGTCAGCCCCCTTTGTGGACCAGGTCCCATCGCACGCCACCTTCCACCTTCCGTGCAAGCGCTTGACGTAGCTGAGCCCGCCCGCGACCTGCTGCGCCTCGAGGCACCCCGCGCTCCCTCTCCCACCCTAACCTCTGACTATATACCTATAGCCTTGCTGGCCGCCACTCCTGTCTCCGCTCACCTTCCCGTCCGTCGCAGAGCCTCAAGCGTCCTTTCCGTGGCCCTCCGCTCCCGTCCTGCACGACCCGATTGCGCTTGACACGCCTCAACCATGGGTAAATCGTAAGTGTGCCTCTCTCTGTCTTTCCTTCCTCAAACCCCGCCCCGCCACGCCGCGCGATGCTTGGATCTCCCGCCTGTCGCCAAGAAGGGAACCGGCTCCCAAGACACACGCCTTTCGCCGTGAACCTACCGCCCTGCTGGATCCTACCCGCTCCTCAAGTCCGCCGCCCGCGCCCCACCACCACGACTCCTCACCCACCTCGATATGGCCACCCAAGACGTCCCCAACCAGAGGCGTCGCCGCCATAGCATGTCGCTGCACGACGTGCGCAGCGCCCATGTGCCACTGCTGCAACACGACGACACCCAAATCAAAATCGGAAGGACGCGCGGTGAGCACATGCCGGAACCGGGAACCGAAAACTACAAGAGCTATGCCACGCACCGCAAGCTCGCGCTGGAAATGGCCCTAAAGGAGCTCCAGTGTGAACTCAACGCCCGGACTGCCGTGCAATGCTTGAGCCTGGAGAACGATAGGCTGATCATTCAATATCATAGCCAGAGCAAGCTCACCCAGCAAGAGCTGAGTGACCTCCAGAAGGCCACCCACTTCGACAAGAAGGAGTTACAGCAATGGTATAAGGGTACGTGGCCTGCAGCCTGAAGAAGCCCGGTTCGGCGTCGCTGACCGAATACGCGCCGCAGGATTCCTGAAGGATTGCCCCTCTGGCATGCTCACCAAGGAGGAGTTCCAGAAGATCTACAAGCAGTTCTTCCCCTTTGGCGATCCATCGTCATTTGCAGATTATGTCTTTAACGTATTCGACGCGGACAAGTCGGGCTCGATCGACTTCAAGGAATTTATCTGCGCTCTGAGTGTCACCAGCCGAGGAAAGATGGAGGACAAGCTCGACTGGGCATTCCAGCTATACGACATTGACGGCGACGGCAAGATCAGTTACGAGGAGATGCTGGCTATCGTTGAGGCGATATACAAGATGGTGAGTGCGAAATGACAGGCCGTGTTGGACGCCCGCTAACAACGCACTACAGGTCGGTTCCATGGTTAAGCTGCCGGAGGACGAGGACACGCCCGAGAAGCGTGTGCGCAAGATCTTCCGCATGATGGACAAGGACGAGAACGGCAGCCTGGACATGGCTGAGTTCAAGGAGGGCTCCAAGAGGGACGAGACGATTGTCTCTGCGCTTTCTCTCTACGACGGTCTTGTCTAGGCGTGGCTGTTTTTTGCCTTACCTTTTCTTCACTCTTTCCTGAGCTTGTGATATCACATTGGGTTTCCCCTAAAGCATTGGCGGAGGTTTTTGATTTTAGCTTTGCTGCGGAATGCACCCGGCATGTCAACAGATATTGCACCGGGACAACACGCGATGGCATGGGCACGCGACATTGAATTGAATGTATTTCCCTTCAAGCGAATAATACCGGGGACGTGAATGTGTGGCTAAGTTGTTCCTTGCCTGTGGCTGTGATGACGACGATCGCTGGGAAAGGACCGGCGAACCTCCGAATTGCCAGCTTGCTTTGAACACCCTACCTGCAACACAGCCCAACCGCCAAGCTCAAGCTTCGTGCGCAAGGAGAACCAGTCGAGTCGCCACCGTCGCAAGATCCGGGCACACATCAGCACCGAACCCCCGCTGCTTTCCTTGGCAGAGTTGCGCGCGTACGCTCCGGAGAGTGCGGCGAACTCACCCCAACCAGCCGTGAGCCGATGCTCAGCGCAATACAGTCCTGAGCCCAAGCTTCCTCGAAACCCAGGCGTCATGCGCTTCGATTCCTTTCGCTCCCCGAGGGCAGCTGTATCAGCACTGCTGCTACTCGCGCCTGCGCTGTCCGATGCCTTCTACCTCCCTGGCGTACTCCCTACCTCCTACAAAGAAGGCGACAAAGTCCCACTACATGTCAACCACTTGACGCCGGCGAACTCGCAAGAGGACCCGCAAGTGCGGTCTGTCTTCTCATTCGACTATTACCATCAGGCGTTCCACTTCTGCCAGCCGAGCGGAGGCGCAGAATACATTTCGGAATCGCTGGGGAGCATATTGTTCGGTGACCGGATACAGACATCACCATTCGAGCTGCACATGGGAAAAAATGAAACGTGCAAGGCCGTGTGCAAGGAGCAGACGTATGAGGGGCGAGATGCGACCTTTGTGAACAAGAGGATCATGCAGAACTACAACTTCAACTGGTTGATAGACGGACTGCCGGCTGGACAGCTTAAGCATGACCCGAACGACAACACGAACTTTTACAGTCCGGGATTTCCGCTGGGGCATATCAAGGATGAGAAGCCGACACTTAACAACCACTATGACATTCTGCTCGACTACCACCAGGCCGGTCAAAACGCGTACCGGGTTGTTGGAATTTTGGTGGAGCCGCGATCTTTGGCAGGATCGAGGTGGGTCAATGAGGAGAAGGCGGAATGTGGGGACACCTCCGAGGCGGTCTTGCTGTCTGAAGAGGGGGAGACCAAGGTGCTGTTCACTTACAGTGTCTACTGGAGGCCCTCTCCGACTCCTTTCGCAACGCGCTGGGACAAATACCTCCACGTCTATGACCCCAAGATCCATTGGTTCTCCCTGGTCAATTCGGCAATAATCGTTATCTTCTTGGTCTCGATGGTTACTACGATTTTGATCCGCACCCTGCGGAAAGATATTGCGAGGTACAACCGCCTCGAACAGTTTGCGCTCGAGGACCTTTCGGGAACAAGCGTCGTGGAGGAGGGTGTCCAAGAGGACTCTGGCTGGAAACTTGTGCACGGAGACATCTTCCGGCCGCCAAAGAATCCCCTGTTCCTCAGTGTTATGCTCGGTAACGGGGCGCAGCTGTTTATGATGACTGGCTTCACTATCGGTATGTGTGCTGATCCTCTTCTTGACACGGGTTTGAATGTTAAACATGTGCAGCTTTGGCCCTCCTTGGCTTCCTGTCGCCTTCGAACCGTGGCTCTCTTGGGACGGTGATGCTGCTTCTCTACACCGTTTTCGGCTTTGTCGGCGGCTACAGCTCGTCCCGCATCTACAAGTTCTTCCACGGCGAGAAGTGGAAGCAGTGCTTCGTCTTCACCCCCGTCGCCCTGCCTGCGGTTGTTTTTGGCACGTTTTTCCTACTCAATCTTTTTGTATGGGCTCGTCAAGCCAGTGGCGCTGTTCCCTTTACCACTATGCTGGTTATCGTATTCATTTGGTTCATTATCAGCGTTCCGTTGTCGCTCGCCGGTTCCTGGCTTGGTTTCAAGCACAAGGAAATCGAGACGCCGGTCCGCACCAACCAGATTCCCCGCCAGATCCCGCCAGCAAGCGGCTATCTGCGACCTCTGCCGAGCATGCTGATTGTTGGTGTGCTGCCCTTTGGCGCCATCTTCGTCGAGCTCTATTTCATCATGAACAGTCTCTGGTTCAGCAAGGTCTACTACATGTTTGGTTTCCTTTTCATCTGCTACGGCCTGATGATCATCACCTGCGCCGCCGTCACGGTCCTGATGATCTACTTCCTGCTCTGCGCGGAGAACTACCACTGGCAGTGGAGGGCCTTCTGCACGGCTGGCGCGAGCGCTGCATACGTGTTTGCGTACGCCTTGATCTACTGGGTCAAGGCACTCAGCTTTGGCAGCTGGACGAGCGGGGTGCTGTACCTGGGTTACAGCGCGCTGATTAGCGTGCTGTTCTTCGTGCTTACCGGTAAGTCGGCGCGGACAATAGTTCCTAAGCTTCCAATGCTAACACTAGATGTAGGCACTATCGGTTTCTTCGCATCGTGGCTTTTCGTGCTCAAGATCTACGGATCCATCAAGGTCGATTAATGAGGAAGTTAGAGCGATTGGAGCGATTTGCATGATGCGAAGAATGAGTGCATTTGCATTGGGGTTGCCGTTGCGTCCTTAAGGCTTAGGTTCACACACGGCGAAAAGTTCAAGGGTCGGGGCACAGTATGTAGTGTCGGAAGAAGAGAAGGAGCATGAATATTCAGATAATGGGATCCTCGAATCCCTGGCACCACAAACAAGAACAAATCCATAAACCGTCGATCTTAGCCATGCACAACATGACTCGTGCAGGTACCGCAACAAACTTGCATGTGAAGACGGGACCCTTTTGGCTGGGCAATGACGTCAGAATCAGCTTCGCACTCCTGGAAGACGTGACATGTCGCAATCAGCCAACGACAACAGTACTTTGTACAGAGTGAAAGCGGCTCTGGCAGGCACAACAACAACAACACCACCAGCCCAGCAACAACAAGGCCCGCCGTCAACCGCCGCATATGGAAGACCCACGTACGTCAACACCAAAGTCCAGCACCGTTAAAAAAACGCGCAAATATCTGATATATATATATGTTCAATGATATGCAGAAAGAGATATCCGCCAGGTGATCCACCTGCTGTGCCAGACGCCGCCGTCGGTCCAGCGCGACACCATCGAGCGCTTCTTCACGCCCGACGCGACGTTCACGCACCCCTTCTGCCGCACCGGCAAGCTGCCGCACTCGCGGCTGCTCATCCGCGCCGTGTACCGCTGGTACAAGATCATGAGCCCGCGCATCGACATGCGCATTAATTCAGTAGGTACGTACGTTGGCTTTTTGTTAAGCGCTGGAGTGGTGGAGCGGTAGAGCGGTCCGGGGGATGGTCAATCAAGCAAGGAAGCAAAGCAACACGACTAACGCTCGCGGTGCGTCTTCACGCAAAACAGCATACGATCCCACGACGCTGCTCCTCTACGTGCACATCTCGCAAGTGTTCCGCATCTGGGCGATACCATTCTACGCGGCGCCCGTCAGCCTGGTCACGGTGCTGCACCTCGCGTACTCGGCGCCTGACAGTCACAGCAGTGCCGTGGCAGCAGCGGAGGGGGCAGCGCTGGCTGCGCGCGAGCCCGGCGGTCGCTACTACATCGCCGCCCAGAACGACCTGTACCAGGTCAGCGAGTTTGTGCGCTTTGTCTGGCCCGGCGGCTTCCTTGTCGTGTGGCTGTGGCAGCTCGTCGCGACGTTTTTCTGCGTCTTGGGTGCGCTGCTGCTGTGGCCGGTTACGCTGGTGGAGGAGTTTGTGGGGGTGTGGGGGGGGAGGAGGGGAGGGGACGTCCCGGAGAGTGGGGCGGGGAAGGTCGAGCGGAAGTACTTGTAAGATTTTTTTTTGTGTCAGGTTTTTTGTGTCAGGTTTTTTGTGTCAGGTTTTTTGTGTCAGGGTTTTATGAAAGAGACTTCTGGAGCACTTTGGCAAGATGTGGTTGTTGTTGTTGTTGTTGGTCACGGGCTCGGGTGCTGTTGGCTGCGTACGAGTACCTAGTCTCCGGGTCGCTACGTGTCGTGTCATCTGTAAGAAGATGACTGGCGCTCTACGCTCTAGCACCGGGCAGCTCCGACGGCAGCGCCAGGGCCGGCTGATGCAGAACCGCAGTGGAGCAAGATAAAGAGTCAGCATTCCCCTGATTATGAAAGCATCCAAAGATACCCTTTCCACACAAGCGGCCGTTTCCGGTTTTTCCAAGGGAAGAAGAAGAAGAAGGACCAAGGGGGCAGCAGCCGTAGCAAGGTGCATCATTGGCAGCACTCTCGGGCCATGCTAATTATTACCAGCAGAAGGGGGTCCGATAAGCAGTAACCCTAGTATCCGATAGCCGCGTCGGCAACTGACGAGGCAGGGTAATGGGGCAAAGCAAAAGTATTGGAAGCGCTAGAAGGGCCAGCGGGCCAGGCCGCAAGAGGAAAAGAGCGGTATCGTGGCGCCGGATTTCCATTACTCGATGGCATTGAGAGGGCGCGACGGGGCCGCAGGCGCGAGTTTGATCGAGTAACAACAAAAAAAAGAGTTAAGGGCACGCCGCCACTATGCTGCGCATCATCATTGCTTACGCAGATACGGCACGCCGCCAAAAGCCTTTGCCGGCGTAGCTATCTCGACGTCGCCCAGACGAAGGATGGAAGGGACGAAGTCAGTCGGCGGGCCCCGGGCCAGGCTCGGTGGGCGGGCCTGCAACTCCGACACCGACAAACCAAAAGAAGAAAAAAAAAAAAAAAAAAGAAAGAAAAAAGGACGTTCATACTCCTATCGTCCCGCCAGCCGGCCGGCCAGCCAGTCGGCGGGCGCGAGTAATCAAGCGGCCCGTACCTGTTTCCATCGAGTAATGCTCCTGCCACGACCGGGCTGCGCCGGGCCAGCGAGAATGCCCGAGAAGGCCGCAGCAAAAGGGCTCGTCGAGAGCGGATCGCCGCAGCTAACTAACTCACTTCCGCTTCGGGGAGTGGGAGGGAGGCAACTGGCTCTGGCTCTGGCTCTGGCTCTGTGCGGGATTGATAAGGCCGACCCCCCAAGCCCCCTCCAGGCCGCCGACTCCTCCTCTACCCCAGGTTTGCTGCCACCGAGCTCGGTCTCTGAACCTTTTTCCCTTCTTCTGTTCTCTACCTCTCTGCCTCTTTGCCTCCCCCCCTCTCTCTC